ACCCAACCCTCGTGTGCCATGCCGGCCTTCATAGGTTCTCGTCAACAGCACTTACACCAACACAGTCTGTTAAGGTTTCACAGGGGGATATCTTTGTCTTTAATTGTGTCATTTAAGCCCTGGTAAGCTAAGAGGTTCTGCATTCACCGAGAATTGAGTCTTGATTATATAGGCGATCTTTTTTCAATCGCCATTATCAATTGAATTAAGGATGGAAGCAAATCATTACGCATCTAACATCCAGTCAAAGTGTAAAAGATATTTACGTCGGTCCGGTAGTCTCATTTAGTATTCATTACAACCGATATTCCCAAAAATATCCATTCCAAGCCGTTTCCATCCCTGTCGAAGCAGCAGGCCCCTGACACGAGCGTGTAAATTCCACATTCCTATGACGGGAGCCGACGAGGCGAGAGGACGTCCAGTGTGGAGACGGAGTGATGAAATCAGCCGGTGCTAGTTGGGATTGCTGCCGCCACACTCACTGCAAGACCGTGAGAGATAGCAACGGCTTGAGGAAGCCTTCATCCAGCAGTGGATCGATCATGGCTGCCTTCAAACCAAAGCGAAGATGATGATGATGAGGATGTCGGTGGATGAGTGGCCCATCAAAATTCAGAAATCTGTCGCTAATTGAAGTTTTATCCACACGTGATAAGACTAAAAAAATACCCTCTCGTTAAACTCCTTCAATCAACTCCTCTCGTTACCACTCCTGCACCACCGCGTGCACCACTAGACTTGGGACTATATACAATCATATTTTAAGGCTCTTATATAGCAGCGGGTTTAAAAAAAATGTGTAACTCCATAACAACAACGCAGCGTGCGAGGGGGGTGCAACTCGGATGGGACTGATGGAGATTGGTCCACACTTGCTGTACTGACGTCCAGAGGGAGGGAGTTGATCCACCAACCCTCACTCGCACCAGGTACTCATTTGAAGCTGAGTATACCTAGTGGGAGGACCAGGACAGGTTCAGATAATCGTCACTGGAATTGGCTGTGAGCGGAAATCGAACTCGGGCTGCCGGGTTCGTAGTGCAGCGCGCTAACCGCTACACTACCGCTCCCCACACACCATCACCACACACCACACACCACCACACCCCACCAGAACCACAGACCACCACCACACACACCACCACCACCACCACACACACACATCACCTCCACACAACACCACCACCTCCACACACCACCACCTCCACAACACCATCACCTCCACACACCATCACCACCACACGCGACCAACACACACACACCACGACCACCACACACCACCACCACACACACCACACACACTACCACCACTACCACCACCACAACAACAAAGATACAAAGATCCCCCGTATAGCCTTAACAGACTGTAGCGGCAAGTGCTGTTAGCGAGCACCTAAAAAGGCCGGAACGGTACACGAGGGGGTGGGTGGCCAACACCACGCCCGGCCGCCTTTGTCTCCCTAGCGGCGATGTTTTCACATCGCACCAGGTACTCATTTGAGGCTGAGTCGACCTAGGGGGAGGCCCAGGACCGGTTCAGATAATCGTCACTGGTGTTGGCCGTGAGCGGGAATCGAACCCGGGTCGCCAGGTTCGTAGCGCAGCGCGCTAACCGTTGCACCACCGCTCCCCACTCCCCAACCACCACCACCACACACCACCACCACCACACACCACCACCACCACCACATCACCACACACCACCACACACACCACCACCCCACCACCACTACACACACCACCACCCCACCACCACTACACACACCACCACCCCACCACCACTACACACACCACCACCCCACCACCACTACACACACCACCACCACCACCACACACACACCACCACCCCACCACCACCACCCACACACACATCACCTCCACACACCATCACCTCCACAACACCATCACCTCCACACACCATCACCTCCACAAACGGTGTTCGCTTCTGTGGCTGCTCTCAACCCACCGCCCAGTGTCCAGAGGTCGCAACCGGGTACCCGATACCCGTACCCTACCCGATACCCGGCTACCCGTACCCAGCCGGGTACGGGTAGGCCGTGAGTCACTGGTGAGTAACCGTCTGTCACTCATTTCCCAACGTCTTGTCTCTTCTCACAATTCAAGTTCCTAGAATCAACCCACCCGCGCCTGCAACATGGCTTCATCCCAGAGGTCGCAATCAGGTACTCGATACCCGTACCCGGCCGGGTACGGGGGTAGGGTGCGGCCGGGTACGGGTAAGGAATCAAAATCAAAACCCGTTTGCGACATCTGCCAGTGTCTCACCGCTCGCCGCTGATCGTGGTTCCTGCACGTCACCCACCTACCCCACACACACACACACCCCCACCCTACACACACACACCCTACACACACACACACCCACCTACCCCACACACACACACACCCACCTACCCCACACACACACACCCACCTACCCCACACACACACCCACCCACCCACCTACCCCACACACACACACACCCACCTACCCCACACCCACCCACCTACCCCACACACACACCCACCTACCCACCCCACACACACACCCACCTACCCACCCCACACACACACCCACCTACCCCACACACACACACCCACCTACCCGACACACACCCACCTACCCCACACACACACCCACCCACCTACCCCACACACACCCCCACCCACCTACCCCACACACACATACACCCACCCACCTACCCCACACACACACACACCCACCCACCTACCCCACACACACACACACCCACCCACCTACCCCACACACACACACACCCACCCACCTACCCCACACACACACACACACCCACCTACCCCACACACACACACCCACCCACCCAGCCACCCCACACCAAGTCCCAGGGTCCCCACGTCTCTCTCCCCACCACGTCCCAGGGTCGTCACGGCCCCATGTCTCTGTGTCTCGCTACGACGACGATGGTGATGGTGGTGATGATGGTGGTGATGTTGGTGATGATGATGATGATGGTGGTGGTGATAATGAGGGTGATGATGAAGATGAGGGTGATGGTGGCGACAGTGGTGGCGATGGTGATGATGATGAGGGTGATGATGGTGGTGATGATGGTGATGAGGGTGGTGATGATGGTGATGGTGGTGATGGTGATGATGGTGAGGGTGATGGTGATGATGGTGGTGATGATGGTGGTGATGAGGATGATGATGGTGATGGTGGTGGTGATGATGATGGTGGTGATGCTGGTGGTGATGCTGGTGGTGATGATGATGAGGGTGATGGTGGTGATGATGATGGTGGTGATGCTGGTGGTGATGATGGTGGTGATGGTGATGAGGGTGATGATGGTGATGAGGGTGATGATGATGATGGTGGTGATGGTGATGAGGGTGGTGATGGTGATGAGGGTGATGATGATGGTGGTGATTAGGGTGGTGATGATGATGGTGATGAGGGTGATGGTGATGATGAGGGTGGTGATGATGATGATGGTGATCGCGAGGCTGTGATTCGGCGTTTGCTGTCACCAGAATCCCACCGTCTCCTCGTCGCGTCTCTGCCGCCCCTCCGTGCCCCCCACACGGCTGCTGTGTCTGTACCCGTGCCCCCCACACGGCGACGGTGTCTGTCCCCGTGCCCCCCACATCGCTGCTGTATGTCTCCGTGCCCCCCACGTCGCTGCTGTATCTGTCCCCGTGCCCCCCACATCGCTGCTGTATGTCTCCGTGCCCCCGTGTGTCTCCGTGTTCCCATTCTTTGTCGAGCCATACCCCACCCAGTGTCTTCGTGCGTCAACGTCTCTGTCCCCATGACTCGGAGCCTCCGTGTGTCTGTTCCTCTGCGTTACCGATAGCCTGACCCCGTGTCTCTGTGACCCCGTGTCCCCATGTCTCTGTGACCCCGTGTCCATGACCCCTGTGTTCTCACGTCGCTGTCTCTGCCCCCACATCCCCGTGTCCCCGCGTCTCCCCACGTGAACCTGTTTAGAGTATCCGTGTCTCTGAATCCCTCCCGTCTCCCTCTCTCCCCCTGTGACTGTCTCCCAGTCTGTCCCCCGTGTCTCCTGCACGCCCGTGTCTGTCTCCAGGTCTCTCTCTCCCCGCGTCTCTCTCCCCGTGTCTCTCTCCCTGCGTCTCGCTCTCCCCGCGTCTCTCTCCCCATGTCTCCCGGCGTCTCTCTCTCCCCGTGTCTCTCTCACCGCGTCTCTCTCCCCGTGTCTCGCTCTCCCCGTGTCTCTCTCCCCGCGTCTCTCTCCCCGCGTCTCTCTCCCCGTGTCTCCCCGTGTCTCTCTCCCCGCGTCTCTCTCCCCATGTCTCTCTCCCCATGTCTCCCCGTGTCTCCCCGTGTCTCTCTCCCCGTGTCTCTCTCCCCATGTCTCCCCGTGTCTCCCCGTGTCTCTCTCCCCATGTGTCTCTCCCCCCGTGTCTCCATATCTCAGTCCAGTACTCCGGTGCATCGATACGCCGCGTGTATTAACAATAATTATCCATCTCCTCCACAATCTCCCCTCCCCCCAGATCTCGGTGGTGGGCCCCCCAACACCCCCCCGGGCCCCCCAACACCACCCCCCGGGCCCCCCAACACCACCCCCCGGGCCCCCCAACACCCCCCCGGGCCCCCCAACACCACCCCCCGGGCCCCCAACACCACCCCCCGGGCCCCCCAACACCACCCCCCCGGCCCCCCAACACCACCCCCCCGTGCCCCCCACACCCCCCCCCGGCCCCCCAACACCCCCCCCCGGGCCCCCCAACACCACCCCCGGGCCCCCCCAACACCACCCCCCCCGGGCCCCCCAACACCCCCCCCGGGCCCCCCAACACTACCCCCCGGGCCCCCCAACACCACCCCCCGGGCCCCCCAACACCCCCCCCCCGGGCCCCCCAACACCACCCCCGGGCCCCCCAACACCACCCCCCCGGGCCCCCCAACACCCCCCCCGGGCCCCCCAACACTACCCCCCGGGCCCCCCAACACCACCCCCCGGGCCCCCCAACACCCCCCCCCGCGTGCTCACCTGGCTCGCCTTGTGGAACTGCTTCTTGAGCCCCGCCACGGACATGGCGCCAGCCTCGAACCTCGAGCCCGCAACGCCGACAGCGACAACAACAGCAGCAACAAGAGCGGCAACAACAGCAGCGACAACAGCAGCAGCGGCAACAACAGCAGCGACAACAGCAGCGGCGGCAACAACAGCAGCAACAAGAGCAGCAACAACAGCAGCGGCAACAGCAGCAACAACAGCGGCAGCGGCGGCGGTTGACGGCGGCGGAGGAGACGAAAGGAGCACGCGGGACGGACGGGCCCCGGCCAACCACCACCGCCACCACCACCACCGCCAACCACGTCGTGAGAGCAGGCTGCTACTGCAGCTTGTAATCGTTCTAATTGGCGACGACGACGAGGAGGAGGATGATGATGGTGGTGGTGAAGAGGAGGAGGACTGAGCTCAGCGCTGCGGCGCGGATCCTGGCCGTGACGTCACCGCGCCGGGGAAGCCCTCGCGTGACGTCACCCCGCGTGACGTCACCCCGACAAACCAACACGTGCGGCGGCAGTGGCAGCAGCAGTGGCGCGTAGTTAGGTTTTAACACGCAGGGAATCATACTCGTTGGTTCTTTCGGTAAAGTCACGTAGGTGAAAAAATATAAATAAAAAATAGAAATAACTAAATGAAATCACCAGGGATTTGCGACCAATATCGTCAATAATAGAGGTTTTTTGGGGGGTTAGATCGAGTGCTCTGTTCACGTGACAACCCCTACTAGTTGGCTGTGTCGGGTGGTGGCGGGTTTAACGACACATTTATTTACGCGATCTAACCCCCCCCCCCCCCAAAAAAAAAAACTTCTTATGAATGCATCGAGACTTTATCATCATCAGCCATAGTCAATCAACTGCTGGTGGTTAAAGGCCTCCCGCAATGTTGCTCACGGTTCCGGCAATGTAAACACAAGGGGCCTTTTTGTTTGTTGTCCTTCCCCCCCCACCTCCGATTGGCACGGTTGGCTACGTACGGTGCGAAAGAAGTTTAACATACATCTAGCAACGTCACACGATCATTCTCAGATGTATTTCATTTCTTGCCGGCCACTCCACAATTATTCGTATTATTCTAGGTAATGCATCAATAATCTCTGTTTCATATTTCCACAAAATAAATCAATTATTTTGGAGCCCAAATCTGCATTTTGACCTTTCATAGTTATGCTAACCAGCGGTGATTGTTTAAGCACCCACAATCTGGTTTTGCCCTTCTGGGACTCGTCAGCAGTCAGGCGTGCTGAACAAACACCGCTGATGTCGACATTCAGTTTAATTTCATTTCAGTTTCATTTATTAGGTAGAGCCCTGTGAGCCATTCGGCTCTTGAATCGGGTGCAACCGCAACAAACAAAAGACAAAAACATGAACAAGAAAACATCTTAAAGTAATTTACACTATGAGACCACCTTTATCAGTGGCAAAATATATTAGTAGGTTTTTACCCTTTCAACTGGTACAAAAACTGACACCTTTATACAAGGCATCATGTTTGCAAAAGGCGTTATCTAGTCCTACACCAATGGAGACTAGGCTCTAAGAAAAGCTGTCTCGGGTGTGGACCAATCAACTTCAAGGACCGTGCATATCATTATCATTATCAGAGTTGTTTCTATTTGTTTGCATTTTGACTGCTTGTGTTGTGGTTATTGCAAACATGATGCCTTGTATAAAGGTGTCAGTTTTTGTACCAGTTGAAAGGGTAAAAACCTACTACTATCTTAAAGTGACTATGTGACTATGTGCAAACATAAAATCCAGGAAAAGACAGCAAAATATTCCAGAAAAAGCACCGTACACCAACGCTGTGTGCAAAAATCCCAGTAGGGTGCAAGTTAAACAACAACAACAGACAGAGTGGTATTTGTGAGTGCGCCCTTCCTGCACCACGCGCCGTTATTCCCGATCCGCCGTCATCCCGCGATCCTGCGATGCAAACATTCCACAGAGCACATGCACGCAAAGTGATGCAATCACTCCATCTCCGCGGGGAACGTCCTCTTGGGCACACGTTATCGTTAGTGTCGACCACCGGGCCAAAACAAAGTTTCTAAGTAACAGTTTGCATGATATCAAGTGGTTAATTCACGCGTTCATCTATACGCCTGGGGTTGCCAGGTATAACGAGGGATTATGAATTGATTTGCCCCGACATCTGGTTACGGTATTGTGTTGAACTTGATTACAGTCTTGATAGACCTAGTGCTGAATCAGAAACATATCCGGGTTTGGTCTGTAGTGGAAAACGTGGCAGATCAATGTCTGCCCTCTCGATGTATGTTTTAAATCCTTTATATTAAGTTCACTTGCTTGCTTGCTTGCGCGCTTACGACCGTGCAAATTCTAGATTTGAAGCATTCGTGACTGCAAAGATTCATATTCTTAGGTTTTTTCGGTTAAGTCACGTAAAAAAAAAAAAATATTATTTTATTTTTTATTTTTTTATTTTGATGTTTTACTTACGTGACTTAACCGAAAAAACCTAAGAATATGACCGTGCAAATCTTTCGGTCGTTTTTTAACCCACTTCCCGTGATCCAAACGAGCTGACATTTTGCACACAGACTCGTTGTGCGAGACAATTAATGTTCGTGAAAATGTTTTTTCATAACTTTCCACTTTTTAGGATTTTTTTTTAAATATTTAATTACCAATTGCTTAATGGTGGCAGGCAATCATCTGACCCATAGGTGGCAGCCATCTCAAGCCAGAGGACGAGAGGACTCTAGCCGCCACGCATATAAAGGATTTATAGTGAACAATTTTGTTTTTACGGGTTAATTTTTCCACGCTCGGATCTCGCCGTTCTTCTTTTCGCACTTCTGAGTGCCCGATTCTCAATGCAACGCCTGGTGCGCCGCCTGCTGGACTCAACGTGATATTTCGCTTTGTCTCGTGAAGCTTGCCAATGAAAGAATACTCGAAGCTGGCACCGTTAGAGTCGGGATTCATCATCATCAACTTTAGTTTTGTTCTAGATTTGAAGCTTTCGTGACTGCAAGGATGCATATTCTTAGGTTTTTTTCGATAAAGTCACGTAGGTAAAATTTTTTTTAAAAATTTAAATTAATAAAAGTTTAATTAAAATAAAATAAAAATCACGACATTTCGGAGGCAACACAAACTTCCGTCTGATACAGCTATCGTGCTGTGACGGTTCCACCTGAAGACGAAAGCTTGTGTTGCCTCCGAAACGTCGTGATTTTTATTTTATTTTAATTTTACTTTTATTAATTTTTATTTTTTTAGTTTTGTTCACCAGGGGTTGGGCCCGTTGAGCTACAGCAACTATTGGCAAGGGTGACCCCCTGGTTTGTCTGGGGTGGAGGGGCCGAGAATAAAATGAGAATACAAAAATATACAACGCTATCAGAAATCGCATCATTGAAAACTAGGGCAGCGAACAATTTTGAAAAGGAACTAAAATTGTAAGACTGTTTAATCTTGGTTTGAAGCTTTCGTGACTGCATGAATCCATACTCTTTGGTTCTTTCGGTAAAGTCACGTAGGTATAAAATTAAAGAAATCCCGATGTTTCCATCGTCAACACAAGCGGTCGTCCTCAAGTCTTTTTTGGTTCTAAATCCTTATAAGGGGCAAAGTTCGTCTTATTTCAACTTCCGCGCCGGGACAACGAACCGATAAGCTCTGGCTTTTAGGGGTCCAGAATGCGAAGCATTATACCACCACAACATCAATGCAGATAAGAACACAGGAACAATAACGAACACGTATTATTTATTACGTTTATAAAGGCAGATTCAGTGCCGGATTAAGCTAGTGCGGGGCATGTTAGCATATGTTATAAAAGGGTCCTAAATAAAAAAAAAACAGAAATATTAAAACACACATGTTTTACTTGCACAGTAAAGTAATTGTTTTGTTTAATTTGCTATACAGCCAGGTAATACGACAATTCGCTAACCTTAAACACCCAGTCGTTCAGAAAAGTTGAAGGCAGTATAGTACTGTAGTCATAGAGCAAGTGCAGAATCACTGAACCGGAATTGATAGCTTGAAAGCATTTAGCGCGGGAGCCCTTCAAAGTGCTGGGCCCTGTAGCATTTGTAGCTACTTTTGTTACTAGATAATCCGGCACTGGGCAGGTTGTTTTATTTTTTTAATCTGCAAAATGAAGATACAAACCCATCATGACAGAATAATAGTGCGGGGTGAAGCACAATGCTTTTCAAACAACACACGCGGGAACGTGTAACACAACGCACACGGGAACGTGTAACACAACGCACGCACACGTTATGCATTATGCAAAAACCATCAGCAGTACTCTGAACAAGTCCGTTGTCGTCTCCTTGTCTTGGGTCACCAGCAAAATAACGTTGAGCATTTGTGATTGACTGACATCATGAGCAGCTGCAGCAGGGATGTAGTTATATGTGGGGCGGTTTTTATCTTTATTGGGACTCACCTGTCAAACGGTGCCGACCTTATTACAGACCAATTCAGACCTTATTGGTCACACCGTGCCCTTATAATTCTCAGCGTTCATCCTACAAAGTACCATCACAAGGGAGAGAAACACAAATAGACAAAAACTTGTTTTGGCCGTAATGAAACTGGCTGTACGCCGTATGGACCTGAAAACTAAATTCCCCTGTACAAGAATACGGGGTATTCTGTCTGAGACCCTGCTTCCATTCACTGTCAAGACCACCTCAGCTATACTTAACTCAGCTCACTTGTTTTTTTAAATCAAAGACATCTCACTGTCTCCAGATGATTTGCTTGTCAGTTTCGATGTAGTCTCTCTATTCACCAAGGTTCCTGTGCCTGACACCATTGCAATAATTGAAGACTTGGTCCAACAGGGAACTGAATTCTGATGTGCCAACTTTGGTGAGGCACTGCCTTACCAATACTTACTTCACCTGGAATGGTACATTCTACAACAAGAGGGCACCCCAATGGGTTCTCCCTTATCGCCAGTGGTAGAAAATGTTTCCATGGAGAAATTTGAGACAGATGCCATCCAGACATCCACCCTACGTCCTTCCTTGTGGAAGAGATACGTCGATGACACGTTCGTCATCTGGCCACATGGCCAGCCAGCACTAAATCAATTCTTCAACCACATCAATTCCATACACCCAGCCATCAAATTCACCATGAAGTGGAAAAGGATGGCAAGTTACCATTCCTGGATGTTTTGATCGAGAAGAGACCTGATGGCTCGTTGGGACATTCTGTCTACAGGAAAGCCACCCACACAGATGCCTATCTAAAGCCTGACTCCCAGAAGAATTCCTCATCAAAACACTACACCATAGGGCTCATTGCATCTCCAACCAGCACCACCTAGCCAGTGAGCTGGAGCACGTACACCAATCCCTCAGGATGAATGGATATTCTGACCGTACAATCCGCAAAGCCGTCTCCCCAGCCATGAGGAGACAACCATCTGAGGACCCAATAAAAACCATCACCTTGTCATACATAACAGGGGTTACAAAGTATTTCTGAAATCTTAAACAAACACAAGATCCAGGTTCGTTTCAACACAGTACACAAAATCCGTGATTTGATCCCATCTGTAAAGGATGTGATTCCTGACATGCAATATCCTGGTGTCTACAAACTAAGTTGTGGCTGCGGGCAGCAGTTACATTGGGGAAACGAAACGACGTGTCTCGGATCGTGTTCGCGAACACAAGGCAGATCTGAAGCATGGTAGGACCAATACCTCTGCCGTTGTGGATCATTGTTTTAATGCTGTGGGCACACAAAATAGATTTTTCTAAGACGAAGGTACTCTGCAAACCCACTGGCTATCATCAGAGATTTGTTCATGAAGCCATCCAGATATATAAACAACCGAGAAGATGGGTACAAATTGAGCAATCATTGGAAGGACGTGATTAACCAGGTAAAGTCTTAACCTGCTGTGCAGTTTCCATCCTTCCTACGATTTTAGCTGACTCTCTGAGTTGCATTATTAGGTTGGATGTCTTTGTATTGACGGGTTGGATGTCCTCGCTCAGTCACCGATGCTGCGACATACTAGGCAAGTCACCGATGCTGCGGCATACTAATCTCGTGCATTGACATGCTGATCTCTCCCAATACAATAGCCACTTCCACAGCCTCAGGCAGACCATCGCTAGCCCCACCCTCTTACCATGAGGCTACATAAGACCTTGTTTCAGTAGCTTTCTCTCTCTCACCTGAAGACGGTCGCTTGTGTTGTGATCGAAACGTCGTGATCTATTAATGTTCTATCTACGTGACTTTACCGAAAGAACCAAAGAGTATGGATTCCTGCAGTCACGAAAGCTTCAAATCAAGATTAATACGGGGTAAACCGCATGGATTGACAGCTATGAGAATCATCAGCACGGCAAAGTAACCAAAGCTCACTGCAGCAAAGTCTGTCTCTGGGAACCATAAACAGTATTATGGACTTCCCACCTCCACACGATGGGGCCCATTCATCATCTTTGGCTAATGCCAAAAATAGTCACCCCCGAAACGCAAGCTTGGCTACGTACGGTGCAAAAGAAGTTCAATAATAAATTTTGAAAGAGGGGAGGAGGGAGGTGGTCAAAGGGGGGGGGGGGAGGAAGGGGGGAAGGGGGAGGATATAAAGGGGGGAGGGGGGAAAGAAGGGGGGAGGGGTGGGGGAGAAAGGGGGAGAGGTGGGGGAGAAAGGGGAGAGGGGTGGGGAGAAAGGGGGCAGGGGTGGGGGAGAAAGGGGGAGGGGTGGGGGAGAAAGGGGGAGGGGTGGGGGAGAAAGAGGGAGCGGTGGGGGAGAAAGGGGGAGCGGTGGGGGAGAAAGGGGGAGGGGGGGGGAGAAAGGGGGAGGGGTGGGGGAGAGGGGGGAGGGGTGGGAGATAAAGGGGGAGGGGGGGGAGATAAAGGGGGAGGGGTGGGGGGAAAAGGGGGGAGGGGTGGGGGAGAAAGGGGGAGGGTGGGGGGAGAAAGGGGAGGGGTGGGGGAGAAAAGGGGGGGGGTGGGGGAGAGAAAGGGGGGAGGGGTGGGGGAGAAAAGGGGAGGGGTGGGGAGAAAGGGGGAGGGGTGGGGAGAAAGGGGGAGGGGTGGGGGGGAGGAAAAGGGGGAGGGGGTGGGGGAAAAAGGGGGAGGGGTGGGGGAGAAAGGGGGAGGGGTGGGGGAAAAAGGGGGAGGGGTGGGGGAGGGGAGAAAGGGGGAGGGGTGGGGGAGAAAGGGGGAGGGGTGGGGGAGAAAGGGGAGGGGTGGGGGAGAAAGGGGGAGGGGTGGGGGGAGAAAGGGGAGGGGTGGGGGGAGAAAGGGGGAGGAATGGAGGATAAAGGGCGGAGGGGTGGGGAGAAAGGGGGGGGAGGGGTGGGGGAGAAAGGGGGGAGGGGGGGGGAGAAATGGGGAGGGGTGGGGGAAAAAGGGGGAGCGGGTGGGGGGGAAAGGGGGAGGGGGGGGTGGGGGGAAAGGGGGAGGGGTGGGGGAGAAAGGGGGAGGGGTGGGGGGAGAAAGGGGGAGGGGTGGGGGAGAAAGGGGGAGGGGTGGGGGAGAAGGGGGGGGGGGGGAGAAGAAGGGGGAGGGGTGGGGAGAGAAAGGGGGGAGGGTGGGGGGAGAAAGGGGGAGGGGTGGGGGAGAAAGGGGGAGGGGGGTGGGGGAGAAAGGGGGAGGGGTGGGGAGAAAGGGGGAGGGGGGGGGGAGAAAGGGGGGAGGGTGGGGGAGAAAGGGGAGGGGTGGGGGAGAAAGGGGGGAGGGGGGGGGAGAAAGGGGGAGGGGGGGGGAGAAAGGGGGAGGGGGGGGGAGGAGAAAGGGGGCGGGGGGAGGAGGAAGGGGGAGGGCGTGGGGAGAAAGGGGAGGGGAGCGGGGAGAAAGGGGGAGGGGAGGGGGAGAAAGGGGGAGGGGTGGGGGAGAAAGGGGGGAGGGTGGGTGGAGAAAGGGGAGGGGTGGGGGAGAAAGGGGGGAGGGTGGGGGAGAAAGGGGAGGGGAGGGGAGAAAGGGGGAGGGGAGGGTGAGAAAGGGGAGGGGTTGGGGGAGAAAGGGGGGAGGGTGGGGAGGAGAGAAAGGGGGAGGGGGGGGGAGAAAGGGGGGGAGGTGGGGGAAGAAAGGGGGAGGGGAGGGGGAGAAGAAGGGGGAGGGGTGGGGAGAAAGGGGGGGAGGGTGGGGGAGAAAAGGGGAGGGGTGGGGAGAAAGGGGGAGGGGAGGGGGAGAAAGGGGGAGGGGTGGAGGAGAAAGGGGGAGGGGAGGGGGAGAAAGGGGGAGGGGAGGGGGAGAAAGGGGGGAGGGTGGAGGAGAAAGGGCGTAGGAGTAGGGGAGGGGTGGGGTCGCAAGTCTCGCGAGAACTCGGGCCGCGAACGGGACGACGAGAACCTCGTTTTTTTTATGTTGCGCGCGCACGTCACCCGCTTCCCGCCAAAATACGAGCGCGAGGCCCCGGCGCCATCGTCACCCGGCAGGCGAGTGTCGTCGCTCCTCCTTCACCCTCTCTCCTCACTTCAGCAATCTCCTGTCTGCCCCCCACCTCCCCCGCATCTCTCTGTGTCGTCTCTGCTGTGAAGGCGTCAAGCGAGAGGCGAGCGCTGCTCCTCACGACCGCGATGAGGGAGACGACGGCGGGCGCCGCGGGGCCACTGCGCTCGGTCGTGAAGGAGAACGACGGTGAGACGCGAGACACGGATACTTCACCTCACACACACCCCCTAACACCACTCATTATCTTCCTACCGTACCCCCCTAACAACACTTTCAATGTTAGCGCGATTACCCCTACCTCACCCCCGTGGAAAGTGCACCTAGCCTGGCACCGGCGCCGTGGTGACGTCACCGCTATTTAGCGGTAATTGGCGGCTCTTGTTGCCCAACAATCCGTGTGTCCACTCCACTCTCTTTGTCCTTCCATGCCACGACCTTACGCTAAACACCAACGCGAATGTTAACCGGATAGCGTTGCGCGGGGCCGTGCCGGGTCTGTAAGTTGTTAATTGTTGTGTTGCATGCAGTGCGGTGGGAATTAAGTCGTGTTTGCGTGTTGGTTTGTTAACAATCAAAGTGTAGTCAAAGTGTTGTGTGTGTGAGAGAGAGAGAGACATCCAGCAGTGGAGTAAAGTTGTTTGTGGGGGAGTTGGGGAGAGAACGGGAAGGGCGTCGATTGGCGCCGTTCTTTAATCTGGTGCGGAACGAGGGGACACATCGTTAACACAAATACATTGTGTACTCTACTCACGAGGTTTAACACTAATTATAAACTATTAATACGCGAGACGTAATCACGATGGGTCTAAGGTGTGTGTTGTGTATCTACGCCGACGTTTTGTAATTGCCCGAGCACGTAACACTCTTAGGTTTTTTCGGTAAAGTCACGTAGGTAAAATAATAATAAAGTAAAATAATAATAAAATAATAATAAATGAAAATAACTAAATTAACTCACGACGTTTCGGAAGCAACACAAGCCTCCGTCATCAGGTGTAACTGCGCCAGTAAAATTGCTAACGTAACACTCAACGCTGATCGCCACGGTATTCAAACTTAGACGTCAACTAACGCGGACATTAAACACTTATCCGCTACAATCCCGTCACTAGTTCTAGTATGAACAATTAATCAATGAATCATGAGCTAACACTAACCCTGACATTATTAGGACTTAGACTTTACGTAAGCACGAACGCCAAACGGCGTAACGCGCTAACCTTGTCATTAACACTAACCATGTCATTAACACTAACCATTTAACCATGATGCTAACCATTCACACTTATATAAAACACTAATCCTCAAGTAACAATAACTCTTACATAAAGCCGTAGACTAATAACTTACAATTGGCCTAAATATAATCCGAACGGTTAACTGGAATACGAAATCTTGTCACGAGTTCATGGGAATACTAGCGCCAACATCCTAACTTATAATAACTATTATTATCATCCCTAACACTGACCAACATTGACTTAATACTACCCCGTAAGGCTAACAATTTACACTCGTCATAACATCAACATCAGATAAACACTCGCAAGCCCTTAACACAAACCTTAACCGCAAGTCTTTTTATTAACACTAACTATAGCCTAACATTAATGTGAACACGCTTAAACTCTGTACCATTCCTAATTTTTATTTTTATTAATTTTAATTTCATTTTTTACCTACGTGACTTTACCGAAAGAACTAAGAGTATACTTTCCAAAGGATGTTTATTTCCCTAATCGCCTTGATCAAGGGGCCATTATCGTCGATCAATGAGCGGCATGTCACTGTCAGCTATGGCTACTGTCAACTCTGGTTCAGGTTTACTTGGCTTAGGCCCTTTAGGGTTATAATACCACTGGACCCAACTTTCTTCGTGTACAGAATAAAAAACAAGATTTGGGTTATCCACGTGGATTGGATTAACCGTGCTTGCATGGAAACTGAATATTAAATCGGGCATTCGATGCTCGTGTGCCTGTTACTCCTAAGTGACCGATTACAAAACTATTCAAATATACGACACGTTTCATCCTTCGCCCCCATTCCACATACGTAAACAATACTTAATTTTTGTAACGATATTATTTACAATTGTTTTGCACTAATGGGTTTTGTTGCATCTGGGCCATCCCCTCCCCGTCATAGTGGATAATCGCGAGTTGACTACCGTAATGTAGCAGCAAAATGGTTTGAGCTGTTACAAAAAAAGTAAGAGAAAAAAACACAATGATAACATTACAAAAATGTTTACATTCTATCCAGGATAGAATGCTAAGGAAATCTATATTAAAGAATTGAAACATCGGGTTGCATTGAGTGCGGTGTTTCATGGAAAAGGCTTTCTCCTTTGACTTTGTGAGTGAGGCCCAGCTGGATAGGATGGCGACATCTATAACATGGCCGATTGCCTTTGAGCCCCAGAAAGAAAAAAAACTCCAGGCAATTCCCAGCTTTTTCTGTCTTGTTTAGGTTTATGCTCGGGCTGAGAATGAGAGATTATTTGAGGGGTTTTAGCCTTGAAAAGTAAACACCATATTCAAAGCACTTAAAATTCGCCTCTGCATATTTGGTCTGCTTTGGATGCTCTACATTTTGAATTTATCGAATATGACAGGATCGTTTAAGTTTCCGTTTAATAGATTTAATCACCCTTTTCATATCCAAAGCAATGACGTCTATTGAGTATTGAGCCTAGGCTTCTACAACTCGACCAGTGAAGCCATGTAAGCGTTGAGATAATCCATGCAACTATCTCCTAGCATAACTGTTGTGCAATTGTGTTTTTGCAGTGTTTTGCTTTGTGGTAAGTGGATTCAATCGGTATCATGTTGTAACCAATGTGTCTTAAGTTGCTGTGAGCTGTTGCAAAATGGCTGCAACAGTGAATTGCTGCACATTTCTTCAATCCATGCGAGAATGCATAATTGTTAACATTTTATATCTGGGTGTTTCTGTCTTCGGTTTGACCGTCAGGTCTTTTTCTTCGTGTTTTCTTTGCAGATGCCAGTGAAACAAAAGAACCGGGTGCTAAGAAACTTGTGCAAGGTGACACCCCCACCTCTTAAACACCAGTCACGTTACATGCCTTTTTAAAAGAAAAACTCGCGCGTTCTCGAATTAACTTTTCAAATTCACTGTTCCTTCAGTTTTAGAGCTGTGCATAAGTAGCCTCCTGTAATTTGTGTGTTAATTAAGAATACTATCTGTATGTGGATGGAGCGGTGGTGCTGTTGAACACTACCACGAGTTTTATTCCTGGACAAATGAGTAGTGATTATGCTATGACGTGGGGAGGTCTTTTTCCTGCAGCGAATTAACAAAGGATTGTAATTTATAACGTATATATGCATATGCATTGGCTGTCATCTTTGTATAAAATTAAGAACTGCTTAGCATAGTATATATTTCAAAATCAAAACAATACGTTTGAATAACCGTTGTGATGGTGTCAACTTTTTAAAATGGATTCTTTCTTCAAATATAAAGGCGAGAAGACTCCTGAATTCAAATTTGTGGCAAATGGCCAATCATATATAATCCTCATTCGCATGCAAAGAGGGTTGAGCATTGTTCTCTGGAACACAAAGGAACAAATTAGTTGTAATGCTTTGAAAGTATATTCACTTTTGAGTACTTGTGGAAGGGAAAGATGGTGAATAGTTTGACAGCTACAAGTTGGCTGGCATTTTAGCAGGCTGGAGTCCAAAAGGGAACATTTTTTTGTTGGTTTCTGAGAATGCAAGCCAAACATTATATGACCAAATCATCCTGAATCTCATGTCTTAGACTATACGCAGTATTAAGCCTACATATTATTGGGTAGGCGATCGCCATCCATATAACAGATGTTAGAGGCTTCTGCGTGACTAGAGTGTGGACAGCGGAAGGGCAGGTTCTTTCGGTAAAGTCACGTAGAAAGGAAAAAAAAACATAACATGTTTAATTGAAACAAAATAAAATGTAAAAATTTTATTATTTTATTATTTCCCTTCTACGTGACTTCACCGAAAGAACCAAGAAGATGAATCCCTGCAGTCACGAAAGCTTTAAATGCTTATATGCTATTACGTAGATCTATGCTATTTGCCAACCCGCACTGACAAGCGTAGTGAAGCACGGTGAGAACTCCTGTGATCCTCACGGTGTGGGGAGAACCTCAATCGGCAGTGGGGTGACAAATTAGATGGACGTATATATATATTACAGTTAACTGGCTGGGTGGTGGTAACAATCAAGAGTTTGTTCAGTCCATCTCTCCTGGGGTTGGTAAAATGGATACCATTGTCTGTGATTCTGCAGTGATGTTCCTATGGAAACACTGCTCCTCATCTTAGGGATGCGCAGTTTTCACCACTCTCAGGAGTTAGTGCTCGCAAATACTATTTGCGCAGTAAGATACATTTACTTTGTTATACATTTTTTAACATTTAACTGGTGTTATGTAATAAATAATTAGATTTGTTTATTTTGGGAAGTGTTCCAGTTGTTCCCGACACCAACCCGCACTGACCACCATAGTAAAATATGGTCAAATAACTCCCACTGTTCACATGGCGTAGGGAAGCCGTTGTCCAGCAATGAGTTGACAAAATTGCTGCAAATATTATGATTTCTAATATTGAAATGGTTTTTGGGCTTAATTTTTTTTCAGCACGGCTGCCTTTTAAACGCCTGGACCCCCTCTCAAGGCAAAATGGCCCTGGTACTCCAAATGCAAAGCGCGCCAAGCTCTCGCCATCAAATCTGTCCAAGGAAGCATTTCCCAAAGCCAAGCTGGTGAGCCTTTACGAGGGGGATAATGCAGTGAGCTCCAGTTCGGAGCACGTCAATCACAAGGACAGCGTGCGGTGCGACAGGACAGGTGGCAATCTGCCATTGCTACGGGGTCCCCTGGACAAGCTCATCAGCTCAGCCCAGGAGAGACATATATCCACAACAAACGTCATTGACTTGACCGAGGAGTCGAATGATGGGCTTGGAGAACAGGCGGCTGCTGCAGTGGAAGCATCTAACGCTGTGGACCAAGACAGAGCTTGCGGTGTTATAAAACCTGAAGTGGTATTAATATCAAAGGCAGAGATAACATCTGAGCCTAAAATGGAATCATCTACCTCAACGGATTTGAAACCGGAAGTGACTGTTGTAGATGTAAATCCCATGCCCTTAGATGATTCTACACTGAGTACGAAGTCCAACCTATCTGAAGTGAAGCAAGAGATTGAAGGCCATGAGCAGAACTGTACAGTGGTAGAGGACCTGGACACAAGTTCTGAGCCCATGGATGTCGCTGAAAATATTTCTGAGAATGCACAAGACTCGAAGACACTTGAATCATCTAAAACATCTGATGCCAGTAAGTGTGTGGAGATATGCACCACAATAAAAGAAGACAAAGAACATGAAGAAGAAACTTCCAAAGGTGAAGAAGAAACTTCAAAAGATGAAGATGAGGACACATCTCAGGAAGAAGCTGAGGAGCCACAGAGTGAGAATGTCACTCAGCCAGAGTCCCTGGAGCGTGTAAAGCCATCAGGGTGTTTCGCTACTCCACAGCGGAAAAAGCTGCTGTCTCCGGCTACCTCCAGGAACGACTGTCCTGACACTCCAGCATCCCAGGCCTCGGCATTCAGCACCACCTTAAGCAGTTTGGACATCTCCACCAACCTCTCCTCGGAGGAGAGTTTCTCTCAGGACAACAGCCCCGCTGCTTGTAAGAGCCTGCTGAGTGCAACATCAAGCTCACTGGTGAGGCCGGTAATGACTTAATTTCATTGTGTGACCAGAGGGATGCCAAATCAACTTTGTGTCAATGGTTCTTACAATTTTTTGTTCTTACAATTTACGCAGCTTTTGGAAATGCAATTACATGTCAAAGTGTTTCTTGCTGTACATGAGTTTTGTCTGCCCATTGTTATTGACTGAAACCATGGATGTAAGATTAGCCAATATTCCTGGAAAATGTCAGTACCAGTAAAGAATTTGTTACGTTGGAGTGATCATTTCTTTCTTATTCATTTGTGAACTATTTGTGTTCTAAATTGAATTGCAACCCTTGCACCTATTGTTGTGCTCGGTGCTTGTTGTGCCTGATGGTGGAATGTGGCATTAAGTTTATTTAATTGTCTTGCTTTTTGATCAGATGTAAATAGTCAGTAGCCACAGTAAGTATTTCTGCATGAACAATGAAAAGTAATGCTATCACCTTATAAAGCATTGTGTTTGTCTTATGTTATAAAAATAAGTGGTTTTAAATGTCTAGTTATTCTGCTGTGTAATTGATGCATTTTCATATAATAGGAATTTAAAATTAAGCATCAAGTTACATTTTTTTAGCAACGCAAACATTGCCTCGGTTAATAACATTAAATGTTCCTCATGTGTAAAATTATTGCTTTGCTCTTGCTATCTAATATTTAAGCAGGATTTATGGTTATTTCATGCATCCCTTTTTTTTTACAGACACTTGGGAGTGTCAAGAAGAGAACAGGTGTCCGTAAACAGAAAATGGTAAGAAACTGCTTAAAACCAGACTAATATCCCCCTGAGGCAATATCTTTAAGCACAATGTCAGGTCTCATTGATTAGTAAATATACACGTGTGTTGCTTCGTGAGATGTTGCCTTTTGTGATCATTTAGTAATCTCTTTATTAAATGCATTGAACTTACCACAGACTACACATAATAAATCAAAACATTTTTGAGGCGGTTAGGTGGCTCAGGGCCTCCACGATCATGTTATGACACAGCTGGAACCAGTAAGGTCCTGGGCTGAATCTGAGCAAACACCCCAGATTAAACCATGTGCTCACTTGTAAATGGTCTTAATTGGCCATCAAGAACGCAGCATAGCATCATATAATAGTTTTTTTTCTGAATTTAGTTTCAACTTTTAAATATGTCATCATACCTTACATAGCATGAAAGATCACCATGCATTGTTTGGTGAGATATGTATGCAAGTATTTATTCAAGTAGTTTCTGTGTTATCAATTTCCAAGGACATTTAATTCACACTATGATTTGCTGGCTTTGAGAATTTTGTAAAAAAAATATCCTTTGTTTTGTGGGACTACTCATGTTATTTAATTGGTGATACAAATTACAAAGAATGATATCAGTGTGGATCCGAATTCGGAGGGCTGAGCTGACCTGCTCCTACTGGACATCTGTGAAAGAGAGCTTCATAGCTCATCAGATTCCTCCTGGATACAGAAATAAAGAAATTCTGAGATCAAAGGTGACTTTGAATCAAGGCCCTTGGATTTAAAATTGACCAATGACTGGAAAATCGTCAAATTAAATTATGGCATTTTCTTTTTTTGGCTCTGAGAATAAAAACAAATGTACTTTCTAACGTAATGATTTGTGTTAGCGAGTAAGGAACAATAAAGAAGCAAACGTGTCATTCCTATATAGTTTTTATGTGACGCGGCATGTAACAAGGCGATATATTTTTCAGATTTGAAAAACCTGTAGCCATTTTGTGATACGATGCACTGCTCTGCAACATTTCAAAATGGGTTCTTAACCTGGACAGACGGATAGCACAATTTGAATAAATAGAAAAATGCTAAACATCCAAAATGTAAGTGATAAAATGAGAAATGCTGTTCATGAAATAAGGTAATTCCATTATATTAAGCATTTTAAAAGACTTACAATTACTAAGCAATCCATTTTTAACTTGAATTCATGTAGATTAAAAAGCTTTAAATTCAAATTCCAGCATATTTATTGAGCTGTGTATGTACTGTTGCCCAATGTTTCCCATATTATGAATAATGCAGAGGCATATTGGCAAAGTAAAGGGCTTTGTTATTTTAAAAATGTATCCTGAATATGCGAGGTGGCCTTCGAAGTCCGAGCGTTGGGCTGGCACTGATAAGATCTTTAACAAGTAGGCTTTCGCGACCAATGTTATTCATAATAAAGGTTTTTGGGTTAGATCACGTTATTTATAAATGTGTCGTAACCCTCCACCACCCGACACGGCCAAACAGTAAAAAATGTGTCACGTTGACAAAAGACAAATAGTTCTCTACTTTAGCCCACCGGAGTGAATCCACAGCATTTACAATTTTTGAGTACGACTTTTCGCTGGATGTAATTACCAACGTGACACATTTTTTACTGTTTGGCCGTGTCGGGTGGTGGAGGGTTACGACACATTTATAAATAACGCGATCTAACCCAAAAACCTTTATTATGACTGATAAGATCTTTGGTTTCAAATCCGGGCAGTCGCCAGTGATTCCACCGCGCTCTCATTTGCAGTGAGTTAATGGTCTCAGTCCTGTCCCTAATGACTTAACAAAAATAACTCCTTAACATAAATATTTTGTTATGCACTAAATCTGGCAGAATTTTAGCTCCGGGATTTAAAAACGAGCAGGTTGACTATCGTGCAATGAAGAGTGCTGCCCCACTCCTGTGTGGCCACTGGAAGGGCTCTGAGTTAAGCTCTTTGATATCCATTTCCTTGGACTGTTATCTGACGATTGTTATTTTAGGCAGAGCTGGAGCAGAAACAACGACATCGGCAGGAAGAGAAGCTGGAGAAGGAGCGGCAGCGTGAGGAGGCTCGCCTGGCACGAGAGGAGTCTCGCCGCAAGATCAAGGAGGAACGCGAGCAGAAGGAGCAGGAGAAAGCAGAGAAATCTAAGCTCAAGGAGGAAAAGAAGCGCGAAAAGCAGGAGGCCATAGAGTGAGTAAAGAAACTGCCGTGGTGCTGTATTTCCATGATCTCTGGGATGGTTGGTGTTGGTTTTGTTCGCAAGCCAGACTCGCTGGCTTGGCATGCATTCCCATGGTAGCTTAATTGGCAGACCTAATACCAAGTTGGTTGAGAAAACAGCCTTAGGAGTTTACTATCATAAGGGATCTGCACCTTTTACCTGGGACAGCCTCAACCCATTGTGACGTCTATGGGGTCAGCATGGAACTAAACATTTGTGGAAAATTACAAGATTAAAATATTTTAGTTTGATGTTGGAGTGTATTTGCAGTGTTTAGCGCGCTGCTATGAACCCGGTGACATGAGTTTGATGCTCAGCTTCACTTAACATCAGTAGTGTGTGATATCGAAACCAGTTCTGGGTCACCCCTTCACCACCACATTGGGCAGCATTGTGAAGCATCAAACAACTCCCATGATTGGCATGGTGTGGGGATGCCTTCAGCCCACTCTGTATTGACAGGGCTGTACATTACATTTTTTATCTAATCCAAGCCGACCGTAAACACTGTTTATAACAAACCTTTAATGATTGCCATCCGACCTTCCACCCTGGTTGCTGAGTGTAGGTTGTTAAAGCCTGAATCCATTTGGTCTTGGAAACTTGTATACACAGTGTACGGGTCATGTTAGGTGACTGGTTGCCTCAGGCAGTTAGTGTTATACCTGATGTTTGCGAACCAACCCTCACAACAAAGGTGGTTGCTCAATGTCTATGTTGTAACACTGTGCCAGGACTGATGAGATCCTAGGTTACAACTGTGTCAACAACTGATTAAATCGGGTTTTCAAATGTATCAACTTTATGGCCCATGGCTGCCAGTATTTCCTGCACTGGCAGCTTGGCATTTTAATGATTCACCTCTACTACAATTCATTGAATTGTGGTGGACATGTTCAATAATTGTCGTTCATTAATTGTTGTTTAAGGAGACTATCCATGGCTAGCTGCTCGTCTGTAAAAGGAGTGTATGATGTGAATATCATAAAGTAAAATACGATTACATATTCGACTATTGGCATAAGACAAGCCTGTTGGTTATCTTTTAATGTACACTAGTAAGTTGTCATACTCGAGTAAGCTATACATAATTTTGAACGATCGGGCTGGGGTGCAAAACATTTGGTTTGTATCAATCAAATAAACAGCTCATTTAATTGAGTGAATCTTCATAAAATTTTTGCTTGGGGAATTGTACAGATGGACCACTTGTGCTGTTGTACATTTGCTCTGTAAATGCTTTATACATAACAAAAACTGATGTTATGTACATTAAAAGCCACATGCCCATCATAAAATAGACCCGCTCTGGCTCTTCTATGTAAATTTATTTTATCCATGTGACAATAACACCACATGCACAAAACACAAAGTCATGTTACAATGTAAGTTATCAACCTAGATCCATTGATTGAGAGACGGTTACTTTAGTTCCTCGCCAAGATCAGTGCTACCACGTACATATGTTGTGCTTTCTAATTTCAAATGTGTATCGTTTTCTTGGGTGTCCAGGTTAAAGCAGGAAGAAAAACGCAAGAAAGAGGAGGAAAAGAGTAAAATGGAAGAAGAAAAGGTATTTCATACAATATGAAGTTATGGACGTGTTTTTAAATTGATGCTTGCCGAGTGTTTTACTGTTGGGTTGCAACTGGCTTCACATTAACTGTCAATTCGTTCGTTGCAGCGTATGAAGAAAGAAAAATCCAAAGAAGCTTTTGCCAGTTTTTTCACCAAGGGTAAAACTCCTCAGGCCCCCAAGGTTGGTATTAAAATCATTCAAAAGTTGAGCTTCCAGTTGGAGGGCTTGTAGTGATTTTCAGCTCTTGTATGTCTTGTTTCAATTGCGATAATAGGAATTTTGAGTCGGGAAACAAATCTAAAATATGAGATTCTGTCGACCATTTCCAAAAGCAAGTGGATTTGGGCAGGATAAAATGCCAGGAGGACTGATGTTGTGGTGGGATAAGCTTTCCGGCAGAATTACGATCATTTCAGCTAATGATGTGCAAGGGTAAGATGGATTGTGGAATTTTAGGACAGTGAGGCATGGTCACAGACCTTCATCCAGCAGTGGATAAACAATGTCAAAATGATTAGTAATAAAAAAACATTTCCTCTCTATAGACACTTACAGGGACCTGCGGACCATTTGCGCCGTTTGAAATAAAGAACAACATGCGAGTGGCTCCTGTGCGGCGTGTGGAGGTGCTTCTTAGCGCTGTCGATGAGGCTATCGAGAGCCAGGCGACCCAGAACCTGTACCTACACGAGCTGAAGCGGCGCAAGCCAAAAACGAGCAAAAAAACATACCCGTACGCCGACTCCATCTGTACAGCTCAACTGGAGAGGCAAGTCATTGCACGTTTGTCACATTGTTACTCCTTGCAAATGCACTCTAAGTCGGGTCCACAACTGACCGATCAGTTGTGCGGACAAATCGGTCTCGAAATTTCCCACTGCTTGGTCGCTTGGAGATATCAAAATCTCCCTCACATTAACAAAGCCACTTCCGTGCCCTCGTTTAGGAGGCCGCTCTTCTGTCTTACAGTTACATGCTGATTTCTCACGCCTTGGCCACTTCTTTATAACCCTTGAGCTACACCCATTTCAAACCTTTTAAAACAGTCTGCCTCAGCAGCAGACTTACCCACCTGATGACGGACGCTTGTGTTGCGCCCGAAACGTCGTGATTTATTTTATTTTATACCTACGGGACTTTACCGAAAGAACCAAAGAGTGTATCAAAATATTTATCTATACTGGAGGAATCGGATGAGCTATAAAGCTTTTTTTTCACAGATTTCTAGAAGGGGCAGTATAGAACGTTACGACAAACAATACAATAGGAGTGCAAAGTATAGGAAAGGTAAATGCATCACTTAAATTGTATACAAATAACACAACTATTTTTAACTTAGCAGATATGATGAGATTGGGGACATTTTGGGTGATGTGGACATAAACCCCCCCCTTACAGGTATTGCGTAACAAATAGAGATGGAACATTGCATTGATTTTTCGATTAATATCGGGTTCCCTGTGTTTTGCAAAGGGCCGTTGTGAAGTTCCGCTTCTGCTGGCTCAGGGACACTGATGGAGATGAGAGTCTACAATGCTTGTTTGAGCAGGGGGGAGACATTTTGAGACTGAATAATGAATATGCAATCATCACCGTTCCTCAAAGGGATGCTGCGGTTCTTAGCCACATTTCATTGTACGTCGTTGGCATTTTAAATGTGTAACATTTTAAACGAATTTGGAAATTTCAATGGCTGCTTGAATTAATATACAGTACCCCGAGCTTTGCTATACATATAGAATAAAAAAAATCACTTGTGTACAAGGTTGATCCATAATCATTGCGTATAGCATTATTGTATAAAATATGTTAGAATGTAAGAAAGATGGTGGTTATAAAAAAATTCAAATGCTTGGGAATACATTTCTGCTTTAGCCTTGAGGACCTTGTATGAAAACTATATTAATGCATTCCATCTTCTATGGCATTGGTTCAGGTGGGTTTGTATTCTAATTTTCTGAACTCCAATTCAGTTGTGTCCAAATCGAGTTCTTTATGTGCATGTACATGGCGGTGTTGTGCAGAACTGAAGCTAAGGGCGTGTGAAGATGTTTCTAGAATTCTTTTCGTACGGCAGATGTTCAAGAGCCAAATGCCAATATTGGTCTTCAGGATATCATTTATGTAATTTTGTTTTTATATGAACTGTTTATACTGTGTATGCATTTGCAGGCAAATGCATAAGGCTTAAAGGTAATTGGTATTATGATTATTAACATTTCCTTATACGCGCAAAGTCTAGTTTACTCCAAAGCTCTCAAGACTGATGGTGTATGCCTGCATGAAGGGTTGGTGGGTCACGCATGTTAATTTAATTGGTTTAATTTTGCTCCGTCAAAGACATCCTATGCAATTTAAGTCAAGACTTTTTATATACATTTAATAATTCTAAATTAGTATAGTTCACTAATTTATTAAATGTTGGTGCAAGGGTTTTGTACTTCCTCCCCTAATACCAACAGTTCAGCTAATCCGTGAACTTAGTAAATATTTTATGTCCACTATAACTCATTCCTACTTTGTTTCTCAGTGCACTGCTGTGTCTAAACATTGCAAAATTTGCTTTGTCTTATTCATACTTGTTCATGTAGCCTCATCGCAGTCATGCTTTGGTGTTTGCCATTGTCTTGCTGCATAATTTTTCCCACTCAGTAGTCGTTGGCCAATATAAAATACTTTGACACATTTTTGTCACTAACCTTCCCCACCAAACTAACACTGATTGCACATTACATCTTGTTCATGACTGAACTTAATGGACTGCGAGGTGGTCCTAAGGTGGTGACTCGTTGGTTTTTGACCTGTGCATATGGAACTTTGAGTCGGTTCTGCGTATGCGAGTTTTTTTATATGAGGCTACTCTGATTGTATGCGTCAACATTTCTGTATTTCTTTAACTTATGGCTTCACCCACAGCAGTGAACTGGAGATCATTGAGAAGGTGACGGAAAACAGAGTCTCCTTGGAGGAGCGGAAGAGGTTTGGCCGCATGAAGCTACTGCAGTTTACTGGGAACAATCGGCCTGCTTACTGGGGCACCTGGAGCAAGTGCAGCAAGCACATCAACCCACGCAACCCCCTCGCCAAGGACAAAGTATGGAGACCCCAGTCAATGCACTTTCAATCTTATATTCCACATGGCTTCTCTGTTGAGCTGTATACCATTTGGAGTCACGTTGTTTGTATTATGACCTACTAACTCAGGTATTCAATTCCATGGTAAGATGATGGCAGCGCAGGATCTGATAAATGCACATTTTAACATGAATGTAACATCACTTTTGATGTTACATCACTCAAGTGTTAGAATGCTTAGTCTGCCTTACTGGCTTTCTTGAAGGCGCATGTCAGCGGATATATTGAGCAGAAATTTTCAGTAATTTTAAATCATTCTTGTTTCCCTTGGTGAAAAGTGCTTTTGATTTAAATCTTTCGTGACTGCAGGGATTCATTCTTGGTTATTTTGGTAAAGTCACGTAGAAGGGAAATAATAAAATATTAAAAATATTCAACTATAAAAATTCTCATGACGTTTCCACTGCAAAGTTTATTTTTGTATTTTATTTCTCTCACATTGCATAGTTTTTTTTAGGTAATGTGCAGTCATTATTTTTGCTTAACAATTTGTTCTAGATGCAGCAGACCTTCATGTCGGTCCGTCAGTCACGGCAAGTCTCCCCGGCGTGGGCATCTAGTTTTATATTGATTTGTCTCCTTGCCTGTGTAAAGAGCAGCGAGGTGTTGTGTGTGAGCTCCAGGTTAAAAGTGTTGTCTGGCTCCTGTCAGACAGTTGAGCGCTTCGTGTGGTCGTATGTGTGACGGACAGGAGTTGCTGGACTACGAAGTGGACAGTGATGATGAGTGGGAGGAAGAGGAGCCTGGGGAGTCCATCTCGCACAGTGAAGGGGTAAGTGGAACAGAATAATAATGCACGTTTATTTATTATAACAGTCTGAATGTTCAACACGGGCATTTATCACCAGCGTATAAACTAAGCGGAAGCCTAATGTAAACTTTTGAAAGAAACTAAAATGTTTTAAATCACCTTCTCTGGAAATCTAGCATTAATTTTACATGGATATTCGCTGAGCTTGTCGCAGTGATATTGTTTTCTGATCAATGTTTAGCGTGCGATACTGCAGTAATCGTCAAGGTCAGGGGTCTCCCTGCTGAATCGAGCATTGGGCAGTTAATGTTAATTTACATAGTTAATGTTCCGTTATAGTTTTTCAAGTGCAATAATCAAAATGTGAACTTTGTTTTTACTTGACATAGTTCTCAAGTAGGTTGGGTCTCGTGACCCATGGTAAAGGAATGTGAAATCGATGCCACGAGGATCCCGCCGCCAAAATGATACCACATTTTGCCGATGTCTCGGGTATGTTATCCATCGGTGCTGAACTTAGATTTGTTGAACTTCGTCCGTATGTATCTCTTATTCATTCAGGAGCAAGACGACGAGGAGGAGGATGATGATGACGATGACGACGGGTTCTTCGTTCCTCACGGTCACCTTTCTGATGGGGAGGGCAACTCCGATGGAGAGGTACGTGTGTGACCCATGGATTCACATGTTGTTTTTAGACTGAACCAGAGGTCATGACTTTTTTTTTTATATATAAAATGTAATGTGTTGCAAAGTATCAGTAGCGGTTGGCATATTTGAATGAAATCACTTATTTTTATTATGAAGTAATTAAAGTATGAAAACCGATGCAGACATGCTACACATGCTTCTGGGTGCTACGGAAGCAGAACATGCCATCCTTGAACTTGCCTAGCCAAATTACCTTTGGGGTGTGACAGCCTGCTACCAAAAATAAGATTTTTTCAACTCGTGAGGTTAGCATTTTCTGTTTCTGTAGGACCCAGAAGCATCCGTTATCATTCAATTAAAATTTTGTGAATGTAATTAATTAATTTTCCACGCAGGTTTTGTGTTTTATAAATTATTAATAAAGACATGATTGACACCAACAGAGAGCAGTGGAGGAGTGTAGCAGCTACAGATATAAAGATTGACAGCTGTGTTGCCTTGCACCTACAAACAAAAAAGCCAAAGGTTATCAACATTTTTATGGAATGCCAAAACACATCACCTTGACAAATTGCTCTGTTGTTGGAGATGGAAGCCTCACCACTTCTTCCAAGAATCTGATGAAAAGTAATGTTTACCAGCTCTCGAATTGGACCCTCAGTAGTGTGGTTGATAGGGTAGAGGCGGTAGACTGTAATTTGGTCAATGAGTCTGCTGCAAGAGCTGTACGCACACGTGTTGATTTTATTAATGAATTTTGTGTAAAACTATTTGTCAACAAAGTGTTAAAAAAACCAAAGCTTGACTGTCTATGGTGAGACAAAATTATCTTGTGAGTGAATATGCAGACGAAGAAAATTGAGTAACATTTAAAAGACTAGGGCACCAATATATATTTGAAAAGATTGTGGCGAGTTCCCCAATTAGGTCACTTGATAATATTGGCTAGGGGGAAATTATACCACTCACACCAACAGATAATAATTAGAATTTCACTAAATGTGTATTTCAGTTCACTAGATTAAGAGAATGGCAAAATGAAATTCACACACCAAGACTTGACTAAAATTCCACAGGCTGTCATCGCCTAGACGATGACAACACCAAAACGTTAAGACCTAAATGAACAAATTCACACACTCCAGTTGTATCTCGTCACTGTGCCTGTGTCACGCCCTATCCGAGAGGAGACACATTTACAAAGTGGTGAGACGTTTACAGAGCAGTGTCCTTCCCCACCCACCCCCCCCATGTGTAGGGCAAGCTGAGCGCCGAGACAAAAAAGCTGCGTGAGCGTCTCAAGGCGAAGGAGTGGGATGACCTGACGCGGACACATCGCTGCCAGCGTCTGGAGCCTGTGGTGATTGGTTGCGTGTGGGAGGGTGAAGGTGCGGACAGCGCAGCCCTACAAAAGCTGCTGCCATACAAGGGCCAGCGCTTCGATCTCGGAGCCGAGGAGGAGGAGGAGAAGGAGAATGCCCAGGAGATCAAGCAGCTCCGGGACATGCAGAGTGAGGAGTTTGTGCTTTCGGCAACTTGTCATGAATGGAAGAATCCATTAAGAACTCTCAGTGGTGCAACGTCCCATGTTCAAGAGTAGCTCGTGGGAATTTGATATCGGAGCTATCTTTCGAGATCCCTTCAAGTGACCTCTTGCACACAGTAGGGGGCAGTTCTTTTCCACCCACTCTGCCACTGAGAGTAATGGTTGTTTCATGACAGCGGGCGTTGCGGTGGTCTGATGTTAAATACCTCCCCTGGTATGCAGGAGGTCGTGGGTTCAATCCCGACTTGACGCCTGTATATTTAGAGTTTGCATGTTTTCCCTGTGGTCACGTGGATTTTTCTCCAGGTCCTCTCGTTTTTCCCTTAACATTTAGAAACGTGCATTTTGAGATTGCCTGCTATAAATGTCTTCATAAGCCACTTCATTGAGCTATGTATTGTGGCCAGGTTGCTTCTGAAAAAGAGATATATAGTTCCGTGAGTTTTACCTGGTAAAATACAAAGTTTAGTTGAGTGAAACTAATATTTTTTTAAATTCTCAGCTGGATTTAGGCAACGTAAAATAATCTCAGTGGTGCCAGCTCAGTGCTGTGACTACCAGAGTAACACTTAATGGTGGGAGCAGATAACGTTTCCAGGTATAATGGTTGCACGCCTGTAATCTGATTACCTCCGCTCAATGGGATGTCGCTCCTATTATCCTGCTGCCCCCGAAGTCTAAAATTCTCCCCATGATAGCACTCAAGTCCAAGGTTTTTCCTTAAATGTATATTGTTCATATGTCATCTCTTTGGGGTGTCTTACATCGTACCTCAGCACTGTCCCATTTTTTCCTGTAGCTTCTTAACATATCACAGTCCCCCAGAAAAAAGTCATAAATCTCAAATACATTCAGTTGGTACAGCCCCTCGAGTCACGATATGGCCTCAAAAGAATAACTTGCTTCTGTTCCTTCATGTTTTGTCTGTTGTGAATAATTCCATATGAAAGGATTTGATGAAGTTTTTTCAATGAATGGTTATTTGGCTGAGACCATTATTTCACTTAATGGAAATGTAAAACCGATCGTACAATCTATCATGCAATGCCTGCTCCACAAATACGAAGGGAACCTCACAGCGATATAGCTCTGATTATCACGGTTGGCTTTATATGGTGGGAAAAGTTTTACATTCATACATAGTCCGCTGTTCCTGACACCGTTGTCTGGCTTGACCACCTGAATGTGAAATTGTAGTTGTTGCTCTCCATCTGCAGCAGCCGTACGAAGAAGATCATTTCACGACTCTTGAGAATTAATTTGCTTGAATTTTAATAATGAATGTCAGTGATGTGAGCTGTACTGAATTATCTCCTATAATTTTTTACAGAACGCTTATCACGATAATCAGTCGTGTATTTTACGAGATCCAGCTTAACAAGAAGTGTGTGCTGTGGATGTGTCTGGCTCCTCCCCTTCTCTGCCAACACCACCACATCATGCTCCACTCCTACAGTCTTACGAGAACTCCTGCCCTTAGTGCATGGCAACATCAACTGCAGCAAATTCATGATCGAGGAGTTCCAGGCGTGGTGGCTGCAACGGGAGACGCAGGATGAATCGCCGCCGAGGGAAACTACGCTGGATACGAAGAAACGGCACAGGAACAGGTGGGACACGGCGCTGCCCTCCAAGTTGCGGTTGAAGCGTCTGATCAAGGAGAGCGCCGTGTACAGGAAGCGCAACGAACTGAAGCGCGTGTGCTGGTACGTGCACGCCGACGTGTTGCTCAAGTACGGCCTGCAAGATCTGCCCGTGCCGAGCCGCTGGAACTACGTGACTGCGCCGCCCGTGCGGGAGAGGGACGGCGAGGCGGGGTCCGCGGTGCCCACGCAAAGTTCGGGGACGCCCCCTGCTGCCGCCGTTGCACGGGAAGGAGGGAGGAAGATGGCCGCGTCCACCCCCGTCAACACTCGCAAGATCACGGCCTTCATACAGAAGCAGGAGCCCGGAAAAGCGGTAGGGGCGCGTTCGCATTGTCAAAAACGATTAATGCACCCGGCAGTCGGTGTTATGGTACTGCACATAATATAACCTGGTGCTGCTCGCACGCGACTGCTACGGTCACAGAAAATGATGTTGCCGCACACGTTCCTGTCAAACTGACAGCACGTGCTGCTTCCCGGTGCCATAGTTTACACTCGTACCAAACGCAGTGTACGCTGCTGTTGCACGCAACGTGCTGCTGCCACACAGCACTGCTACTACTCCCATTGGATGTACTACTGTCATTATGTATGACTCGCATATAGATTATGCTGCTGCTACTCACAAAAAGTACTATGCCAATTCTATGCACGTGGCAATATCATTGTCATGTTAGGCAGTGGATAATTCCACAATTTCAAGATGGGGATCGATCTGACACCTGCTGATGTTTCAGGCCGGTGCTGATTTTATTGACCTGGGAAGGATAATGGGCTGAATTACCTCCTGACTGGAATTTGTAATCGTGAGTCAAGCGCTCTACCAGTAGTGCCATCAAGAGTTGGGCTATCCGATATTTAATAGATTACTTGATAAATCAGAAATCATGTGCCACTGTACAGGAGGTTATGGACAGGACTTGGTGACATCATTGGCATCATCAACATTCTCTCGCTGGGTGTGGCCTGTTAGGATTTTCCTGCATTTGTGAGGCAGGTTATTGATTTTGAAACAGCCCGAGTAATCACCAATCACAGAATGATGATGGTGGCTTAATAAATATAATCGACTAATTGTCCCAGTTCTCGTGCTCATTTGGTAAAATGGAAGAATGTGTTAGCTCAGACTTACAACGAAGCGGTGGTAGAATTGCATTATCTATAATGGTAGAGGTGCCATGCATTCTCATGTGGCATTTTCCTATGGTGTGTGGAGCGATGTACACCGATTACAGTTTAGTGTCGATTTAAGCGGTGCTATTGGCTCATACATGTCAGGTGTGATGTCATGTCCATGCTACTTGTATAGGTGTCTGACGTAAAGCTGGAACAGGCGGACCCTGCCGGTGATGACTGCATGATTTTGGAGGAGCAGGAACCCACTCTGCCTTGCAACGAAAGCACAGATGGTAACATCTTTTTATTAAATTAACATTCCACTTTTCACATGGAGTCTTGTAGAAACGTTACACCACCTCTCCTACCTGCCTGTTCGGCATCTCGCTCTTGACGATTGAATATAACGATGAATCGAATCATATGTTCATCATGTGTCGAATTATGCATTTAAAATACATTTTTATTTTTGTTTTGGTTCACATAAATCCTGCAAACTGCTGTGCTTGTACTAAACTACAACGGCATTAAAATAATGGATTCTTGAATCGTGGCTCAAAATTGTCGATTTGTCAAATTACAAGAGGGTGAATTGTTACATTCATAGTCTTCACCCCCCCACTACCCCTTCTGCACTCTCTGTGTCACCACGTAATGTCACATTCTCTTGGACTCAAGAAGTCAAATTCAAGGTGGGCCTGGTGGCTCAATCAGGTGGCTCGCTCATACAATGCCCATTGCAGAACAATGAACCGATACTGATAGTGCCTCCTGGTTAAAGCAATTCTCAAGTATAACTAGTTGATCGTCTTGGCTAATTTTCTAATGACTGTACAAAAAGTTACGTTTTTAATTTGTGACCTTTTTGTATAACTAAGTTAAATGAAATTTATCCAATCTCATCAGATATCCAGAGCTAAGGGCTGTCCCTGGATAGTGCTTTGATTAACCACTGTATTAAGCAGACGTTACAGACTGCTGCCTGGCTGTTTTGTTGGCAGCAGAGGGCAGTGCAGAATTATTGTACTTTGCTATGCTTCCACATCTGTTCCCCGTCTTCACCAGCCCGTGCTGACATGCTTGGTAAACTACAGTCTTCTCAAATAATACCTACGACCCATGGCACGGAGACTCTCAAACAGCAATACATTTACACATTCTACCTTTAGAGAGGTGGAGCAATGGCGCAGTGGTTAGTCCACTACTGCGCCAACCTGGTTTGCCCGAGTTTGGTACATGGCCCCTGCTAAAATCAGTGGCGTGTGATGTCTGAACTTGTCTTTGGCCCCCCATACACTTTGCCAGCCCATGCAGACCAGCGTGTTTAAGTATTGTCAAACAAACCCCTCGTGACCAACATGGCATGGGGAGACTTTCGTTTAGGAATCGATTAACAAAGTGGTGTAAACGTTTTTTGTCGGTATTTTTTCTGTATTTGAGGAATACAATTTTGCATTTGCCAGCATACTTCACAGGGCATATCAGGGCCTCTGTTGGGTGAGGAAGGCCTGTTCCAGTGACTCTCAACACTAGGACTTTCTGCTGATTGGCAGTTGTGATTAGGCAGTACAATTGGGATATAATTTTTTAAACCATAAGTATATTTACATGATTTCACCATCCCAATATATTCTAAGTTAAAAGTTACTTTTAAGTGGTTGGATGCTTGTGTACAGCCCATTTGTAATCAACTGCTGGAAGCAGGCAAAGTCACGCCATGTGAGTTGACTACACTTAACCACTTGTCCGTGCAGGTTGAGAATACAGAGCATAGATGTGGGAGCATAGATTCGGTAAAGTCACGTTGGTAAAAATACAAATAAATAATAAAAATAATAGACATAATAATAGAAATAAAATAATAAATCAAGTCTCCGTCATCAGGTGGGACCGTCACAGCTAAATTTAGCTGTGACGGTCCCACCTGATGGTGGAGACTTGTGTTGCCTCCGAAACGTCGTGATTTATTATTTTATGTCTATTATTATGTCTATTTTTATTTTTACCCACGTGACTTTACCGAAATAACCTAAGAGTATGAATCCTTGCAGTCACGAAAGCTTCAAATCTAGAAATACATAGATGCACAGTACAATAATCGAATTTTCTGAACTGTGCCCTATTGTCCACAATTAAGTTTAGCCCTGCCACCTTATATCAACTTGTGTACCGTAATCAGCCATCTAAGCACTATCCAGGCTCAACTCTGCTTTGCTTCTGAGATCTGACAAGATCAAGTGCATGGTATATGTGAAGTGAAATGATGTGTAATTTGAGATCTCTGATTGTTATTGTTTTTCAGTTGTACCTCAAGTTCCAGCTGAAAGCTTGCACTGAAAAGGGATAAGGAAGTAAAATGAATCTCACCACGTTTTTAATGTTTCCTACTGTATATCCTGTATGTCTAGATCATTATAAAAGCTTGAATCGGAGCACGTGCATACAGCACAGCATTTTTCAGACTTGATTAAATGCTTATTTGTACCATTAATTCTTAAATGCAAAAAGATCGTGAAGAGGAACAGATTTATGTAGTTTATTTGAAACTGTATTTCATTTCATAATAAATCTAATAAAAAGATGAATGTTCTGCACAAATCACATTGCTGTAGCAGTGGAATATCAGAGCAGAAACTAAAGCTGCATAGTCATTGGACTTGGTGCCAAAATTATTGAGCAGCTGATGTACAGTTCCCATATCTACCGAACGGTTTACTTGGCCCAGTGCTTATTTACAAATGGGTTCTGTAACCGTATCAGTTCCACAGATCGCTTGGAATTGGTGGTGGTAGTGGTGGGGAAATATTTGTCCAAATATATTAAGCATTATAAAAAGGTAACATTTTGTGGAAACATCTTTTTTATAGCACTCTTTTAATGTGGGTCAACACGAGATACCATAATTCCAATGTAATGCCTCTTACATATTTGTATATGTTTGTGCCTGTGTGTTTATAGGAACCTATAAGTGACCTGTGATCCTGTTGTGGAAATTAAATGGTTCGGGCTGCAGATCTAAACTGGACGGAAGTGGCAATAAAACGGCAAAGCAGTACAAGGCGAGCGAGATACGTTCTGTTAAAATGGTTGGTTAAGCCAAAATTTGATAAACGATCGGTTTCATTATACAGATTTTTTGGGTTAGTGTAAATTACGCATTCTAACCCAAAAAAACTGTGGATAATATTGGTCGCGAGAGCCTGTTTCCCCATAATACAGGTTTTTTGGGTAGAATCGCATAAGTTACATGTAAATTACGCGATCTAATGGAAAAAAAGTTTTTTATTGGGTTAGATGGCGTAAACTCCGATCTAACCCAAAAAAAACCTGTATTGTGAATATTGCTCGCGAAAGCCTACATGTTAAACTGATGGGTTTCCCATTGAACTCCCATGTTAAAAGCGGCGTCATATTTCAACCCCAAAATGTTCCACGCTTGAGCAACTTTATTGTGAGAAATGCAAATTCTAATTTTAAATAAAGTAAACCATGAAGTATAACACCACACATGAAGAACAACCAGTGCTTGCAAGTGCATGTCCTCGGCATCTGAAATTAATTAGCGTCGCCACCACCTCTCCCCCACCCACCCATTAAAAGTGCACAGCTCCAGAGTCTTCTTAATATCGGAAGGACGAGCATTGCAGACGACCACAGAAGCACATCTGAACGTGCGCGCGCGCGATGCAAACAACAAAACTACGGGCTGTGCTGCGGCCACGGAACACATTCGATCGATCAGTCTCCGCTTGTTACGCGAACATTTGCTCGTTTTTCAAACAGTGGTCTAATTTCAAATTTATTGTTATAACGAATTCTCGTAGAAAACGCTCATTAGGCGAGACACACCTGTACTGGACTTTAGCTTTGCACTTCAGTTTAAGTCACATTGATTTCCCACAGTGATTTTAACATGGTGTTCTAGCAAGTGAAGGGATGTCCTGGGATGCTGCTCTCAGGCTTAACACTATATAGGTCTCTGAAATATAAGACGGGGCCAATTGGAGAGGGTGGTTTGATTAGTGAAAAGTTTTCCCCCATTACAGTAGATGGGAATTAATTTGTTCATGATTTTATGGTGCTATTGATGACCGTGAATAATGCAAGCTCATTCTCCGTTAACTTGGTTGCATGCAAAATATAATCGACCAAAATACTAACTGCACATCCGCCTGGTTTTAGGTGAGCAGAGCCTCACAATCTGTGCCTACTGATCAGTAATTTCTCACGTGTACGTGTACTATATTTTTTGTTTTGTCTGGACTGTTTTTAATGCTTTCCAAATAATGTTGCTCTGTCCGTCCATCCTTAATGGGGAGGGGGGGGGGCATAACTCTTTTCAAGAAGATGCAATATGAACCAAAAAATGAGTGTCAACTTGTGTTATTAGGGACTGACCCAGGTTGCCCAAAACTTGGACAGAAATTGGCTCAAAGGACACGCTACGGTGTCCTGTCTCTCCCTGCCTTGTGTACTTTACTGGTCAGAGCCACTATCAAACTCATTGTATCATCACAGCCTCCAGACATCCTGCGTGCCTGATGTTAGCACAACTATCACTCAAAAGGACACGCATAGAGAATCCATGCATGTGCATATTATTTGTATTTCTGCCGTCTTTTGTGTACCATTTGTACTCTCCTGTATTTGTATTTTTGTTAGCACGAGCATTATTTTCGTAGTGTTGTCCATCTTGTTCTCTCCCTCGCCATTGTTGGCCTACCTATTCTATGCCGGCTTGTGCATTTACGTAAATTAACAAAAATAACAGTTGTCCATAAATGAAATTTCAACTGTTGGTCATTGTTTTGATGCATGATTCGTATGGGTCAAGAATCAAATTTCATCAATGTGTGGTTCTGGCCCTTTGAGAGACCTCGCCCAGAACTTTGAGAGCCTCGTTTGAAGTGGCTGGGTTTCTTCGGGTACGAATGACATTGTAAAAGTAATGAGCCCACACTGCTGAGATAGTTTAGATTTTGATTTATTTGGTATTTAAGTTGAGGGTAAACATTTTTGTTGTTGCCATGTGCTGAACACTCTGTAGGGCATAAATGTGCCATTGTGTTGTCACCCGAAGTCCCTGTGATAAGATTCCAGATGGAGATATATTATTCATCTGAAATACGCTACAATTTGAATTGATAATGTGTCTACAACCGCATCAAGACAGACAAACATTTTGAGGTTTAGAACAGTTGACCAATCTAAACAATTTTTCTTAAAAAGGATTGTAGTTTAATAGCTTGGGAGCTCAGGAATCAATGGGTTCTTGTCTAAAATCACTAAACCAGATCCTGAGCTCAGAATCGTTTAGACTGGAGGAATCCGATTAACTACGAAGCTCTTTCACAGATCCATCATGAGCTACAACCATAGACTCCCAACCAAGGTGAAAACTAGATTTTAGTGTCAACCCAGTTGCCCATAATTCAATAAAAAATTACATGATCGATTATATACTTCATTATAACAAACTTGAAGGGTGCATTTGTATTTAGCTACTATGCACAGCTGAGGTGTATTCAGTCATGGTGGCTGTGTAAGATACAGCCTTAAACGATGTTGGGCGAAAGCATACTTGATCCAGGGAGTTGTAAAACATTGGTGAGCGGGTAGATGCTGTAACCAGAAAAAAAAACATTGAGATACACATGTACAGTAAATTGTAAAAAACAAAAAAATACAATAAAATGAACAGCGAGTCTGGTTCACATTTATTCAAGTGGCTTTCTGCTGCAGGATGTTGTGTGTTAGCTGCAGTTCTTCCTCCATCTTCCCCACCACGAGGTGTAGCAATCTGTCTGCAAATGGACCCTGAAAGCAACATCAAATTAACGGCAGTTAGCCTTGTAATATGAGAAGGGATTTCTACAGTAACCAAGCCCTCTGGTAGAGTTTGTTTGTGGATCTTGAGAATTGTATCATGTGAATCCCGACTTGCAGAAGAACAAGTGAATGTTAACCATGAGCATCAGTTTACCATATTCTCCAGATAACTGGTCATTTAGGAACAAAAACACTAAAATACAACATTCTAGGAAAGGGATGTAAACTATAAAGCTAGAAATTAGAATGGACGTTGGATAAAATAATACATGTTAATCTGCAGCATCAACTTATTATATACAATACAGTAAAGTCATTCTTTGGGTCTTTCGGTAAAGTCACGTAGATAGGTTCAAAGAAAATAACAACTACGACGTTTCGATGGCAACACAAGTGGTCGTCATCTACGTGACTTTACCGAAAGACCCAAAGAATATGAATCCCTGCAGTCACGACGGCTTTAAGTCAAGATTTAATACAGAAAATTCCAATCCAGTAGCAAGACGCACCTTGCTAATAAGATTGGTTTAAAAATAATCCCAAAGTTGCCATGCTACTGGCAATGATTAATCTGGAGGGCCATGCAGTCCAGTGGAATTCATGTTTGCTTCAGTGATTTACCTAATATGCTATTTTTGGTTATTTATATTACAACAATTTGCTGGGGAAAAAAATGCTTGATCATGTTTCTGCCAAATGAATTGACAACTTGCCGTTTAAACAGTACAGCAATGAAGAAAATAGAAATCCGAACAAAACTGTTCAGTTTATTTTGAATTACTCTGTGATCCAAGAAGCTCACATGAGAAATCGAAAACATTGCACAGACGTAAATCTATATATACAAGTCAGCTCAGGCAGATAGTTTTTATACATCATAGTAAAAAGACAATGATACATGAAATGATCCTGTTAATCTCAGTCTTGCATGTGTACAAACACCCTGAATGGATAAGCATTGGGGGGGGGGGGGGTTGGTGGTTAAAGGTTACCTGGGTATCCAAGAGTGCCTCCACTTCGCTGCACCACCGCGTATCCCTCTGCAGCGTCGCATTGGCCTGGTGAAACGGTTGCAGTTTGTCAGACAAATGAGTAAGTTCACAAAAGCCATCACTATTGACGCACTGTAATAACCTTCACGTTCATGGTCATAAAATCGCAGAGCCTATATCAATTACTGAATAAAGGTCTCCGTGGGGCCATTTCATGGGATGTTATTTGACGATACTTCACCATGCTGAGGAGTCAGCTTGGACTGGTTCAGAAATCACGGCTGACGTTGGGTATGGCTGGGAATTGAACTCAGGTGGGGTTTATAGTATAGTGTGCAAACCATTCTGCTGAACTAACCTGCATAATCCGCCTAACATTTGTGGCAGCATATATTATTGAGGGCAGGGAAATATTGATACAGTGGAAGCCTTTACTCTTTGGTTCTTTCGGTAAAGTCGCATAGTTAGAAATAAAATAAAACATCACGACGTTTCGATCGCAACACGCGGTCGTCATCAGGCAAAGGAGTCTGCCTCTAAAGGAAAACTTTATAAAAAAGCACCAGGAGCATGGGCGGTGCAGCCTTTGCCAAATTCAATTTCTTAACCACGGGAGATGCCTGTCAATAATAAGATATTTTAATCCTGTTGTGCACCACAGCCAACAAAAGTCCCTAAATCTTTTATTATGTCTTAAGTAATTTCTCATACTGCATGTTGGCATTACATTGCACGGTATGGGGTAGAGATCTGAGGTGAATGGTGGCTTCGCTGAAGAGCGACCAGAGCCATGGGTGTTGAGCGGCTTTCTATACTCTTGAGCAGCGATCAATGCACAGCTGCAGGCCATTGCTGTGGCCCAACGGAACCTCTTTGTAAACAAGTGTAATCAAATCAATAAACAAAATTACAACAAAGCTTTAGTTGCGTTTTCTCTTACAAAACCGCAAACACTGCACCACATTTCATAATTTTGTCGTTGATAAATTTCACGACGTTTTGCAAAATGAGGGTTGAAGAGGTTTGCACGCTGTGCCGTGAACTTGGTTATAGATTTGATTCCCGGTCACAGGTAAAATCAGTGCCGAGTGATATCTGATCCGGTCCTGGGCTTCCTCTTTGCCAAACCTGCACTTGCCAGCACAGTAAAGTGTGGTCAAATAACCTCATGACTGATGCACAACATGGGGAGGCCTTCATCTAGCAGAGGATTGACAAATGAGTAGATTATTATGATGGTGAGAATTCATAAGAAATCTGTTGAATTTTTACAAATGTAAATAATACGTGAGGGACAACTAAACAATTTGGTGTCTGCTGAAATGAGGAATAAGCAGTGCTTTTATCCATTGGTGGCCCTGAGTCGTTGGTAAAATGTTCATGTTGGCGCCCAGTCTACTCCCCACAACAACTACAGGTGACCCTCCGCAGGTGGATACTTTTATCAACCCTGAAAGAATAAATGACTAAATTTTGATTTAAAGCTTTCGTGACTGCAGGGATTAATATTATTGGTTCTTTCGGTAAAGTCACGTAGAAGGGAAATAAAAATATTAAACTAAATTCTCACGACGTTTCGACTGCAACACAAGCAATCATCAAATTTTCTTGCTGTGGATTTCACACCTGATGATTTCCTGTGTTGCAGTCGAAACGTGAGAATTTTATTGTTAAATATTTATTATTATTTCCCTTCTACGTGACTTTACCGAAAGAACTAATAAATGACTAATTCACTACCATCAGGTTTCAACTTCACAAGCTTTCACTTGCAAGCCGAGTGATCTCACCACAGCCGTCTCCTGGCCAGAGTATGCAACATATTCCTCAACAATCTCCGCTGTTGTGACACGGTAGAGTGAGGGGGTAAATATTCCACCTGAAGACGGAAGCTTGTGTTGCCTCCGAAACGTCATTTTTATTTTATTTTACTTTCATTATTTTTTTATTTTTACCTACATGACTACCGAAAAAAACCTAAGAATATGAATCCTTGCAGTCACAAAAGCTTCAAATCTAGAACTGAGAGGGTAAAGCCTCACCTGGGCCTCATCCACCTCCAGGATGTCTGAGAGCTCCGCCTCGGTGATGTTGAGGATGGAGGCAGCGAGGGACTGAGCTCTGCTCGCCGAGTCCGTCCGCGCGACCGTGTCGCTCGGATGCGCTCGCCGCAACAGAGCGTGCGTCTCCCGTGTGTGACGCACAAACTCCCCCGCCAATGCCTGGCTCACGCACGCACGCACACGTAACATTCACAGACACGTGCACGAACACTCCCCTGCCAGGGCAGAGGTCACAAACAGGTACACACCAATGTGCACTCGCATGTACGCAAGTATGTACGCACTTCCCCGCCAAGGCTTGGATCACACACGGACACTTATGCAGAGACAAAGATCCATATAGCCTTAGACTGTTGGCGCAAGTGCTGTTAGCAAGCGCCTATCAAGGTCGGTAGGGCACGCGAAGGTGGCCAGCACCACGCCCTTCGCCTCTCAAGTGGTGAAGTTTACACACCGCACCAGGTGCTCCCCACAATGCACACACATTATGCGTGTGCATATTTGCGCACGTGCACACCGGGCCAACACGCACTCACGGAGAGACCAACACGAAGCATCGCCGCGGGGGGTTCTCCCCACCCCGCGGACCCCCGCACCTTGACGAAGTTGGCGAACTGGGCGGTCCGCGATTGAGACGCGTTCAGCTGTTGGTGCAGGTCACGCAGCGTCTGCTGGCTGTGGCTCGCCAGCTCGTGCAGCTGCTGCGACGCCGCCGCCTCCAGCTCCTCGGCCGCCCCCTCGGCCGCGCGTAACCGCTCGTTGTGTTCGCGCAGCTTCTGCGTCTGCGGGGTTGATAATGCACAGCGGACACGTGGTCCTTAAGCAGATGATAGATTTGCTGCTGTGGATTGCTTTAGTAAATACGGTTCGGCATTTATAAAAATTGAGGGCAGCGTTTGACGGCGCAGCTGTAAGTCTCCTCTTTGGTCCCACCTTCTTGTCCAGCCCCTCCTTGGCTCTCTGGTAGAGCTGCTCGTACTCGCCCTTGGCCTTCGTAGCCACGTTCAGTCGCTGCTTCATCGAGTCGAGGGCGACCTTCCTGCCACTCGCCTCCTCCGTGAGGGATTTCACCTGGACGCATCGCATAGCGGGACATCGGACACTTTCGGGGTGACGGGATCCACTCAAACTTGTGTGTTTTTTGTAGATGGGATGAGTTTAAAACATCTATGATATTAAAAGGCACATTTTTATTTTAGGATAATTTCCATTAAATAATTGAACTTGTGACATCACCCAATGACACATAAGACATTTGGTGGAAAGCACGGATAGTGGTGTCACATCAGGTGATGTTATATTTTTCAGATTAATCAGACACCAAACATTTTTTCGGATCATCTTAAAATTTTAAATAGGCAAAACAATGTTCGTAAATTCATCTGCTTTTAGTCAACATAGTGTTAGTAAAGCATTTGTGTCAAGTTGTGAATCCGTGTCTTTCTGCTGCTGCAGTGTGGCGCAAATGTTCCCCGCACACATTTAACATTTCTCCTGAACAAGTATCCATGCTGCAGCCAAAGCTCCTCTCAGAATGCGACCCACAGGTTGAGATCCCCTGGTGTAGAGTGTGCGATTGACGCGTTAGCGCGAGAGGAGCAGCCCGAGTTAGCGGAGTTGGTGCTCCGGGCCGCGTGGGCTCGTTACCGACCTTCCCCTCCAGCTCGGTGAGTGCGGCCCGCTGAGCCGCCTCGCTCAGCTGTGCGCCCTTCACGCGCTCGCGCTGCTCCTCCAGCAGCTGACGCTTCATGGCGACGTCGCGCTCCCCTCGTGTCACCCTGCCCCGTGGCACACACACACATACGCGCACGCGCGCACACACATCGCCTCGTGAGAGACGACTCCGGAATCATCACTCACTCGCTGAGGTTCCAGCTACAAGTGGGGGAAATGACTCCACTCGTACGAATACAAAAAAATATTACGAGTGTTTTTCTCATTCACTGCATATTGAATACAGTTATTTGAAAGTAAATTAAAGTTAGAGGTCGCTGGGTGACTCGGGTCAGTGCTGAGCTTGCCTTACTAAGATCTTGGGTTCAAATCTAGGCACATTACTTGGCAAAAATGATAATCTTTTATGAGGTTTCTTGGTCTGGGTTTTTATTATTTACTATCTTTGTTTTACTAGGTAATGGCCACTGAGCTATGTAGCTCTTTTTCAGAAGCGACCTGGCCACAAATGATAGCTCAATAAAGTGGCTTACCACATCGAAACGTATAGCAGCCAAATACTCTAAACGCCGTGATGTTGATTCTAAATGTGGAGGGAAAAAACGGAGGACCGGGAGAAAAATCCACGCGATCACGAGGAGAGAGACACCGCAGACTCCAAATATACAGCAGCAAGCGTCAGGGTCGGGATCGAACCCACGATCTCCTGCATACCAGGCGAGGTAGTTAATATCTCCTAGCCACGATGATGATAATGAGAGAGAGACACGCAAACTTAAAATATACAGCCGCAGGCGTCAGGGTCGGGATCGAACCCACGATCTCCTGCATACCAGGCGAGGAAGTTAACATCTCCTAGCCACCATGATGCTAATGAGAGAGAGACACGCAAACTTAAAATATACAGCAGCAGGTGTCAGGGTCGGGATCGAACCCACGATCTCCTGCATAGCAGGCGAGGTAGGTTAACATCCTGCTACCGTGGCGCCATCTAGCCACTGTGATTAACTGTCATTGGCATGTGAATTAAATACAATGAAAACATCACATTTGTCAAATAAGCCGGTGAGCAGATGCTGTACGAGTTGAATGACCGCGTAGCCAGGAGGGAGAGCTGTCTGTTGGGGATGTTCAAGGGATTGTGTCGGCAGTGACGGTCCACATTTGAGCTTTTCATTGTATCGAGCGGCACGGTCGGTGCGTGAATCGACCTGCACTGGCGCACAAATCTATAACGGAGACGGGGGGACAAACGCCGTTTGAAAGAGACCACACAGCCCGCACGTACGGAAAGCTTGCAATTACAACTGCACGTTCACAAGTACACATTAAAATAGAACAAAATCTCGTGCACATCAGCGCCAGTGCCCTCTTTGCAATCGGTGGGATGAGGAACTTTTAGCAAACAGTTGATGCTTTGTGTAATGCTGTAAAATAAATTTGCATGGCTGCAGACATATAAATGTGACAAGGCTGTAACAGTGAGGTAGACCCATATGCGGGGCTTCCTTGAACAGACAAATTGTTGTTGTTCTTTGTCGTTTGTTTTTACCGATGTACTGAACCACTGTGCCACCAGTCCCCACAACAGCGGTTTCCCATGTAGCCTACACAGTGTGTTGGGGAAAGTGCTGTTAGCAAACCCCTACAAAGACTCGCACGGCAAGGGCTTGGTGTGGCCAGAACCAGGTCTGGCTGCCATTACCTCCCCAGTGTTGATGTTTGCATAGTGCAACCAGGTACTCATTTAAGGATGAGCCAACTTGGAAGAGGTCCAGAACCAGTTCAGATAAGCACCACTAGTGTTAGCCATGGCCTGGAATCGAACTTGAGGCATCGGGTTCGGAGAGCGATGTTCTAACATCTTCACCACCGCTAGCCACTACACACACACACGCACACAGATGTGCACTTGCGATCACTACACACCAAACCCATCCACCGTGTGGCTCGGATTTCCTAACGAGCAAATCAATGAGGCAGACACTTGCTGAATCAATGACATAGATCTGTGCGTTGTGGCTCAATTAACAAGCCACTGCCATTACCCTCATTCCAACAACGAACATGAGCTCCCAGAAAAGAAGCTGTATACAGCTGAGTGGAACCACCATCTATATTCGAGATCTTCAACACAACACGCAAGAGTTACTTGGTATTCAACCTATATTACAATTGCTGTTATTCATAAATAAGATAATTTGCACTTAAAGAGGGTGGGGATTTCCTCCAATCTTAAATAGCAGGCCGCTTGACAGCCGTACTAAATTGGTGCTCGCTAACAGCGGTACTTGTAGTATTGTGCCTGAACCTCACCACATCTCGCCAGGTAGCAACTGTATTGGCCAGTCGGAAAAAAATCTCTCTGCTCAGCTGGTGTTGGCCACTAAGCACGATAAAAGCTTCTTAACCATTCTAAGTTTTTGTGACTGCAAGGATCCATACTCTTGGTTCTTTCGGTAAAGTCACGTAGGTAAAGAAAATAAAAATAAATAAATTAAATCACGACGTTTCGATTGCAACACGAGCAATCATCATCAGGTGTGACAACCACATTGCTTGTGTTGCAATCGAAACGTCGTGATTTAATTAATTTTTATTTTTATTTTCTACCTATGTGACTTTACCGAAAGAACCAAGAGTATAAGCTTCTTAACCCTTTCCTGTTCCGATGACGTACATGTATGTACACCATCAGTTTTTTTCCAATTCTGTTCTGATAAACGTGTTCGTACATCATCAAAACAAAATCGGAAGAAAAAATTAATTAAAAAAACTTTATCGGTACCGAGGCTCCCACAAGGCCATGCGGGAGGGCGTGTGGCACAGTTTGGCACCAGCTATCGAGTGTGGTCGTGTCGCTGCAGTTATCTATGGTGAGTACAATGTCTTTGAAAACAACGGCGCTTCACCTCTCTAAATAAAATTAACCCTGAGCGGCTAGCGCATTCCGAGATTCCGAGGTGACCAGAACACCGACCCTGCAACTTGCAGACGCCTTCAAATGGGAAAGGGTTAACGTCCCAGAGCTTGGGTGTCCCACCACGATGCTGAATGACGTTGCAAATCCAGCATCACAACTACCAGCACCATAATCATCGTCAGCAGTCATGCTCTATCTACTGTTGGATGAAGCATCCTCACAGTTTCCCTCGCCGTTTGCGTGAGAGGCTGTGGTTTTCTGGTAATAACTCACTTGTCTTGGAGCTCTGAGATGTGCTTCTCCTTCTCCTGGAGCTCCATCCGCAGCTCCTTGATGGTCGCGAGCTGCCGAGACATCTCGCCCGCCGAGCCCTGCACATGCAGAACAAAGTCGGTTTGTAGATTATGATTTCAACATATACTTTTATTATGTTTTTCTCTGCAGCCGTTGGAAGAAATTTCATGGCCAAAGGCGCTTATGTGAAGCGCTCTAAGCAGAGATCAGCAACAAGTGCCAGAGATACACCTTCAGCCAAGAGCGGCATTCCACATTTCTATGCCAAACAGCAGTCTTAATAGGGCAAGGACTGTAGACTTGTCATCAAGTGGCACAGCTTCACCAGGTGGTGCTCGTTTTAATAACACAAGGTGCACCTGTATCTGGCCGGTCGCACCGTGGAAGTTTTGCGAGTTGAAATCCCGATGGAGCGGCTCGACCTCTCACCCTGAGCTTGAGCTGCAGCTGTTTGATCTCCGCGTCCTGGTTGGGTGGCGGGGCTGGCGGCGCCACAGCGGAGGCTGGCGGAGGAACCGGTAGCGCCGGAGACGGTAGGCCCCCCCTGACCTCGTCTCCGCCTCGCTCCAGGACTCGGATCTTCTGCTGCAGCTCGGACACCTCGGCACGCAGCCTCTGCACGATCGCACGCACGCGGGCACAGCTAACGCAGCCGTCTTTTCACTGCACGTGAAGCCCGGTTCACACGTGCACGTACGCGCAATGTACGATGTTTTGTATGCCGCAAGGACACTCAATTAATCTACAACTGTCGCGGAGCACAAATGCCTGCTGTGAAGATGGCTAGGGTGAAAGAGGGCATTACAGACAGTGGCGAAGTGAAGCAGGTGGAGGAGCATCCTCCCCCTTAGCGGAGGTGTGGAGGCTTTATGAGACGACAGGGGGGCAAGGAAGGGAGTTCCAGACAAAAGGTGTGCAGGAGTTGAGGAGGAGTGACCTCTCATGGACAAAAGATCACTGGGAAGTCTTGAGAGAGAGAACAAGGTTCAACTTCAGAAAGGAGCACAGCAGAGGAGAGGAAAGCGAGCGCCCATCAAGCAGGAGGCGTAGAGAGAGAGCTTCCCTGACCTGCGCCGCGAGCCGCTGCATCTCGGCGCGCTGCTGCGCCTCCGAGAGCCGCGCGCCGAGCAGCGTGGCGTGCTCGCGCAGCCGCGCCGCTGCGCCCTGCGCCTGCAGCCGGGCGGAGCGGAGCACGGCGACTCGGCGCTGCAGGGATGCCACGCGGCGCCGCAGGGCCCCCGCCACGGCTGGCGGAGGCGCCCGGTGTGGCGGCGCCGGCGCCGGGGACGCGTGGAGCGACGCCGCCGCGTGCTGCACGCGAAGGTGCCGCCTCCACCGTGGGTAGCAGGGCTGAGGGCGCGAGGGAGCACGTGCGCAGAGAATACGTCAAGGGCGGTAAAATTCACCTATGTTCTGTTGGGTATAGCTGGTTGAGAAGACTATTTATAAGTCTATGTCCAGCTTTGTCAGCCGGGAAACGGCTTCAGTTGATGTGTGGCGGATTGCTTGATGCATATTAGTTTGCTACCGTGAGATCTATGGTTTGGTCAATTAACAGCCGAGGCTAAGCCATGAGTTACTGGTTAACACCAGTAATCCCTGGGTTTAATCTTCCACGAAGCTCATGGTCCACCCTGAACGGCATCCACAAAACAATGGTAGCTACCTGATGCACAAATGGACAATTAATATCATATAACCACGCAATGCCCCATCCACAAATACGAAGGAGGCATCACAGCGATACACTCGCTGCTACTCCTGACGCGGTTATCTGGCTTGACCACTTGAACGTGAAATTGTAGTCGTCGCTCTGCATCTACGTCAGTCGGACGACAAGAAGAAGACCGGTGATCTGGGTTATAGGCCGAGGCTGTGATTGCGAGTGTATCCGCGTGTGGGTCTGACCCGTGCGGGGCCGCCCTTGGCGGTGCGGGGCCGCGCTTGGGACGCTTGCGCAATCAACGAGCCCAGGCTGCTGCTGGGAGTCGTCCTCTCCGTTGTCCCCGAATCCGTGTCGCTGCTGCACAGAGGGCAAGGCAATCACTCGATGCGACTCACACGCCCCATCACGTGATCACGTCGCCAAACGGTGGCAACTTGTGGCTATCAATTGCAGGAGGCTACCGACTCTGTCGTGGGATTTACAACATCAGCAGGTGAACTAGCTGATGAATGAAACATATGCAATGTGCAACTTGCCCCCGTAACTTTATCATTCTGAATATTCAACAGTGAATTAGCAAACCTCGATCAATGTCTGCTGATCAAGCACCATCTGCTACTCTCCCATCAGCCAGGGGTGCCGGGGCGCAGCACCTGTAGTCGCTCATGTCCTCCCATCCGTCCTTGCTGAAGTTGCGGAACGTGTTTCCCATCTCCTGGATGGATCGGTTCAGTACGGCCTGGTGGTGCCGGAGGTTCCCGCTGCGTCTCCTCCTGCCAGGCCTCCTCTTCCTCGCGGGGCCTCCGCTCCCTTCCGCGCGTCTCTCCCCGAGTCTCTCCTCGCATCCTTCCTCCGCGTTCCCCTCCGCATCCCTCCCGAAGGCGTCCGAGCACGGCGCGCCCCCGCCGTGTCGTGCCGCCGGTCGCCGCTTCTCCGCCAGCGCCGCGTTCTCGCGCCGCAGCTGGCGGCAGCGCTGCCTCAGGGCCCCGTGGCCCTCGGCGAGCGCCAGCCTCTGCGCCTCGAGTCCGTCGAGCCGACGCTCCAGCTGGCCGCACCGCTCGCTGGATTCGGCGCCTTCCCGCCGCAAGCGAGCCACTTGCCGGCGAAGCTCTGCGTTGGCGTCAAGGGCCCGCTCGCCATCCCGCGCCCGGCCCCGCAGCCCGGCGTTCTCCTCCTCCAGCCGCTTGAGCTGGCCCTTGAGCCCAGCCATCCTTCGGCCCAGATCGGAGTTCTTGCAGGACGTCTGCTCCAGCGTCTCCCGCAGCTGAGCGAGCTTCTCTTTGAGCTGCGAGCTCTCGCGGTCGGCAGCGGCCGTCTGCCTCGTTCTGTCTTCCGCCGTCCTCCTCAGTTTGGCCACGGCGGCCTTCAGTAGACTCCTCTCGCCGGCCAGGGCATCGCGTGCCTCAGCCAGTCTGCCAGCTTCCTTCTCCACCGCCTTCAATTGCCGTTGCAATGCGAAAATCTGGAAGAGCCAAGAAAACGTCCGTCAAATGAAGGCTTGCCAAGGCTGACGGGATGGGATCAGAAATGCCAACACTGCTGAGATGCAGGGGAGCTGCGCTTTGTTGGAATTTATTTGTGAAGGGACCTGGAGAGCCTGGACCCCCTCCCGACTTCCCTCCCTCATTCCCTCCCTCATTCCCTCCCTACCTCCCTACCTACGCTCCCCCCTCAACCCTGACCACTCCCTCCCCCGACCCCCACAAGCTTCGGTCTTGCCCCGATATATGAACCTCCTGGCAGTCACTGCTGGTGGCTGTGTCTTGAGTGCTGCTCGTGGTGGCTGGCAAAGGCAAGAGGGAGGGGGGGGGGGTGCCCCCACCTGCATCTGCTGCGAGTCTCGCAACTGCTCCGGCTGCAAGGAGCTGCTCCCCACCCCGCGGTGCTCCAGTCTCCACAGCAGCTCTGCAGCAGCAGCAGCAGACGACAAACGGCAGCAAAGACGATGGATTGAAGACAGCGACAGTCGCTCTCCAGTCTTCACCACGGACATCGCCGACCGATGCTCACCACCATTAGCATCACCCCCCCCCCCCCCCCCCACTCACTGGCAATGCCTTTCAATCTCGCCGATTATTCTGTCAGCAACATGACTGTTGCAGCCAATTCAAATAACCTAAGTGCTTAGCACACTGCAGTGCGACACTGTGACCTGAGTTCGATTTATGGATGTGGCTAACATCAGTGGCGAGAGCATTACCTGAAACGGTCCCGAACTACACTCCCCCCCCATCCCCTTCACCAACCCGTGCCTCGGATAAACAAAGAGCGGTGCGCGGTCAATATTGCATCTTGGACACCATTAAAGTAAACTAAAAACTATTAAAAAATATATTTTACCAGGTAAAGCCCACTGAGCTATTTTTCAGACGTGACCTGGCTATCACAAATGATAGCCTCAGCGAAGCGGTTTATAGTGTGGAAACGTATAGCAGCCAAACACTCTAAACGCCATGATGTTGATTCTAAACGTGGAGGGAAAAACCGGAGGACACGGAGAAAAATCCACGCGATCACGGGGAGAACACGCAAACTCCAAATATACAATTGTCAGGGTCGGGATCGAACCCACGACCTCCTGTATACCAGGCGAGGCAGTTAACATCTCGCCACCGTGGCGCCCCGATTGTCGAAGAACACAAGACTCCATACCGTCGCGCTCATGATGCAGGCAGTGTGAGAGCTGAGCCAACGCGGCGCGGTCTGCGGCCGCCTGCACGCGAAGGCGATCCAGCTCCTCCTGGAGACGCAGCCTGTGGCAACCACGGCCACGAGAGAGACAGAGCACCATCACACGTGGCACATGCACCATACAGCCAGCAGCACCGTCATGGGCCCACTGACACACGGCATGCAACAAACATACCTAGCAGCACACACGCTCACCAAGACCCACACACAGACAGAACAAGCACCGCACATACCCACAAGGATATACTCACAATACAAGTGTAATAAAAGGACTCAGACACTTCTTGCTGACTCCGTGTCCTTTATTTGGGGTTCGCGTTCTCCTTCCCACACGGCACTCCTCCTGAGACTCTCTCCCTGGCAGCCCCACATCTGCCTTCGCTCCCGTAGCCTTCCACGCTCCTGCAGCTCCGCTGCAGGCTCTTGGTACAGCCCTCTGGCTGCTCCCCCAGCAGCTCCATCTCTGCTCCCTGTTCCTCCGTGCGTGGCGATCTCGCCACCTCCCAATGTCAGCCCTTCGTGGCCTCTATGGCTATCTCGCCATTTCCTACCTCAATCCTCCACTCTCTCTTCCACCCCGCTGGCTGGCGCCGTCATGAGCCCCTCAGCCACCAGGCTGAGGCACGGCGACCACCCAACGTGTTCACCACCCTTCACTCCCCCGACTGACCCAGATAGCTTCCTGTCTCCCCGCTATAATTTCTCCCCCACGTCACCCTGACTCCTCCCTCTCGGATCGTCATATCCGCCCCGCCCATTTACGCCCGCATTACACTACCCTCCCCCGTAGAGAAAATCCCAGCCGTCCTCGGCTGAAACAGAACAAAATAATGCGGGCGAAGGCATCACAATCAGGAGTCCCCCAGACACAACGGAGATTATAACAACAACAACACAAGCAACGAAAGGGGAGGTATCAGGAACTGGAACAGAACACCGGCCTGTCCTCCGCGCAACATCAACAAGAATAAAAATGGCACAATGAACAAAAACGGCAACTGACACGCAAGAACGGCCAACGCGCACAATCCAGAAATGTGATGTTTTAGTGCGTGTCCATGTTGCAGTTCCATCCGCTCGGCTCAAGTCCAACGTCAAAGAGCAAGTGGTAGAGCAGAATGACGAACGGCGCTCAATTGCTCCTTCAAGTCCTCATCCAGCTAGCACACCAGGTAACACCCAGTGCGACGGGAGCTGAAGAATCTGTGACGAGAAGGAGAATCCAATCCCCTGAGGCACAGCACAACAACGCACATCCGCATGTCGTACACGACAGCCACCCGGCCTCAGGGTAGTGGAGATGATGTAAATCCAGCCCGCTTAAAAAAACTCCCCATAAATACCTAAAATAACGCAATGGATGCCCCAGTATTTACATTTTAACAACAATATTATTTACACGTGACAACAACAAAATTTCCTGCTCTTACCCACCAGCAGTCCTCCCTTGAGGACCAGCACAGACATCGCACGTACACAGCATGTACCCACGGTCACTCTCAGCAACCCAACAAAACACCTAATCGCACACCCTCGCGTGGAGAGAGCCACGCTCCCCAGCGGTGACGTTTAACTCGCCGTAACCCTCACCGTGGTCGTCAACCCACAGCAACATCCATTTACCATACTCTCGGCTAGTGCCATTTCGGGGAAGATCAGCACTCGGCCATGCTCCTCCCTTACTATCCCATCAGCGATGGACACACACCAGCCTCTTATAGTCTGACGCTTTATAGCCCAGGGAAGGTTCATCCCCCGGCAATGCCAGACCCCCTGTACTCCCCCCACGGGGCAATGTTCTCTTATAGAGACAATAACACCCTAACCCAGATCCCGTGAGCCCCCGGCACACCAGGTTCAGTCTGCCACCGCACAACTGAACCATGACTCCCCGAGCCATATGAGCACATGGCCCATTAGTTTAAGACATACCACGGAGGTTTCGCCTCCGGGCTGTCAGGTCAGCCATCAGCCATAGGCCGAAGTGACCACAACTCGTGCATCACCCACTCAACAATGGCAGGCATAACAGATGGAATATTTGCCCCACCGCGGTTTTTCCCGCGCGCTCAAAATGGCGTCCCCCTTCGCCCAGCGCGTTCGCGCAATATCTCGCGCGCACTCAAAATGGCGGCCCTTTCCGCAAAGCGCATCGTCACCATACCCCGCGTGCGCGCAAAATGGCGGCCCAACGTGCGAACACGTGGCCAGTTTTCTCCATTCGTGCACCCCAGCTTCCCTTAACTGGGGGTCACAAGACGCATCCCCCGTCACGTTATAACAACCCCACCAACGATAGACGCACAGCCCCAGCTTGCTGCGCACAGCTGTCATATCGTGGAATTTTTAACCAATATTTTACCAACCACATTGGTTACACAACCCAACTCGCTAAGCAACTCGTGGCTGCATGCGATCAACCGAATACGCGACGCCACTTGGCGCCAATTTACGGTCCCATTAGCATTAACCTTTGAGACACCCACAACGGCGTCATCGCGCACCCTCATTTTCAAAAAGCTCAATTACCCCTATAATATACACGCAATCTCGTGTGCACAACACCCATACAACCAAATTTTATGGTCCCCCTCTATAATATACACGCAATCTCGTGTGCACAACAACCATACAACCAAATATTTGGGTCCCCCTCGAATTTGTTAACAATTTCCAACAGGTACGCACAATATAATAACAATTTCAATTCCAATAGTCAACCACTGCATCGCACCCCATAACCATACAGAACGGTATAACAGCACATGCAATCAGCATATCGCGATCACACGCGTACATTTAAGCACAATAGCAAGCAGATCTGCAGGCAACCAACACACCATTAATCCTGTCGTAACTTTGCAGCAACAACACAATTATTCTCTCTCTTGCAACAATCGCATCGCACACAGCACCTCGCAGCACAATACACCAAAAAAATATATATATTTTTTTTCCAATTAAGCCCATCGCACAAGGTAACCCACAAATAATACAGCGCAAGATACCCGACGCTCCCAAGTTAATAATTAACTTCACCATTAAGATAACAACTCCACGCAGCAGCGCACACACACAATTTGACACTCAGCAAATACAGCAGACTCTCCGTCCATTCTCAACACACGCACACACTTACATTGACACCATTAACAAGCAGATAGCGCGTTCATCGTTATTACACACACATCCACACAGTCCGAACCGCGCTCCGCACAATCGAGTCATAAGAGAAAACCAAAATAGCCCCCCGGCCCTCGAAAGATGAGTGAGGTGTGTGTTAAGGCCGGGTGCGTATCGTTATGACTCGCCCGGGGCTGCAGCAAGAAGAGGACGGCAGGGTGGCAACTTGAGACGCCTCGCAGAACTCGTTCGGCGACTTGACGGCTCCGTTGTCACGCACCCGAGCCAGGACGGGAAGCTCCCGCCCCAGCAGCTGCAGCATCGGCGTCTTCTCCTCGCAGCACCCCCTCGAAAAACAGCAGCTCACAGCAGGCTGCTCACCCCGCGGCACCTCCAGATGGCAGCGCAAGGCTGCCTCTCCGCCGCGATGTTGAAGATGGCGGCGTCCTCCCGCCGCGGTGAAGACAAGATGGCGGCTTCCCGCCTTTTCTCCCCTGCCACGCCCAAGATGGCGTCTTCGTGCCACGTGGCAGATGGCGCTGGCAGCGCAGGAAAGGCAGAGGCCTGCGGATCACCACCGGGCCTCCCCGACGCCGTCCTCGGCGTGGTGAACTCACACAGTTGCGCCAGCACGATTTTCAAGGTCTCCCTCTGCGCCGCCATCTGTCTCCATCGTAAGTTGGCATCCTCCGGCACAGACAGGTCCACCAACGCGGCGACACCTTGCTCACCCGGACCCGTACTCGTTCCAGAACGGATCTCCTCTTCCATCGCAGGCAGGTCCACCGTCTGAGGAAGGTCGTCGTCGTCGGATGATGTAGCAGGAATATTCTTTTTTTTTTCTTCTTTCTCTCAGTTGTTTTGAGATGCCGTTTCACTTCTGACACCAGTGTAATAAAAGGACTCGAACACTTCTTGCTGACTCCGTGTCCTTTATTTGGGGTTCGCGTTCTCCTTCCCACACGGCACTCCTCCTGAGACTCTCTCCCTGGCAGCCCCACATCTGCCTTCGCTCCCGTAGCCTTCCACGCTCCTGCAGCTCCGCTGCAGGCTCTTGGTACAGCCCTCTGGCTGCTCCCCCAGCAGCTCCATCTCTGCTCCCTGTTCCTCCGTGCGTGGCGATCTCGCCACCTCCCAATGTCAGCCCTTCGTGGCCTCTATGGCTATCTCGCCATTTCCTACCTCAATCCTCCACTCTCTCTTCCACCCCGCTGGCTGGCGCCGTCATGAGCCCCTCAGCCACCAGGCTGAGGCACGGCGACCACCCAACGTGTTCACCACCCTTCACTCCCCCGACTGACCCAGATAGCTTCCTGTCTCCCCGCTATAACTTCTCCCCCACGTCACCCTGACTCCTCCCTCTCGGATCGTCATATCCGCCCCGCCCATTTACGCCCGCATTACACAAGTATTGCACACGCCACACAATACACACACAACACATGTGCCAAACATACCCTGCACTAGTTATATACGGCAATATGCATCACTCACACTCAATAACACCATTACACACACACACAGAGCTCGCATACACACACCCACCAGCACCTTCACACATGGCACATGCATCACACATACCTACCGGTCACCACATGACACGAACATACACACGCAATAGCAGAAATGTAACGATTCATTGATTATGAGCCATTCTTGCAATCGGATACATACGCAAGTAAAAAATCATGCACCTGAGAATACATAATTTCTGCTTCATATAGTTCGTACATTATTGGTTCATAAAAAGCCTGGAGGTACGTGCCATCGCTGCGCAATGTAAAACATAAATACACATATCAATTGATCTTCTTGGTTCTTTCGGTAAAGTCACGTAGAAAGAAATTAATAAAATAATAAAAACATAATTAAATAATTCTCACGACGTTTCGGCCACAACGCAAGTAGCCGTCTTCAGGTGAAGAACAGGTCTGTCAAGGAGACAGAATCTGAATGACAGCTACTTGCGTTGTGGCCGAAACGTCGTGAGAATTATTTTATTATGTTTTTATTATTTTATTAATTTCTTTCTATGTGACTTTACCGAAAGAACCAAGAAGATGAATCCCTGCAGTCACGAAAGCTTTAAATCGAAACATATCAATTCGTGAAGCCATAACTGTGACAACTCATCGGGTTGTGGAGGGCGAATCGTTACATCCCCCCACCGGCGTCCGACCGCCGTCTCACTTGTCGGCCTTCAGCTCGTGGTTCTCCCGCTGGACGAAGGCCAGCTCGTTCCACACGCCGTCGCTGTCCTCCTGACGCAGCTCGTGCGGCGCCGCTCTCTGAGGCCCGCCCTTTCGGCCGCCCCTGCAGAAACAAAGCGCCGCTGCCCGTGACCCCCGCGATCAAAGCAGCAGCGGCCTCGCCGCAGTGCGAGCCGTTCACACCGGGGAAGGCGGACCCGTTTCCTTCGTGAAGGCTGCAAAGTATGATCTGTGTTTTGATTTAGTGTGCTGATCTTAAAGGTGCATTGAAAAACGTTGATACTCCGACTGATGCTCCTGCTTTTGTGGAGTGACTCATGCAGCCAGCTATGGTGGTACATGTTGTTTGTTGTTTATTGTGAAAATTCGGTCACAGTTCCTATGATCACTGTTACATTGTGTTTATGGCTTTATTTTGGCGATTTCGAAAACGTTTTTATTTGGTTTGGCCATGTTTGTTTGTTGTAGTACGGAGTTAGACTGATGGCCTTAATCTAAGTTGTGGTTGTTGTTGTTTGACTTGCATCCCACTGGGATTTTTGCACACAGCGTTGGTGTACGGTGCTTTTTCTGCAATATTTTGCTGTCTTTTCTTGGATTTTCTGTTTGCACATAGTCACATAATCATTTTAAGATTTTTTCTTGTTCATGTTTTATTTTTTGTTTGTTGCGGTTGCACCCGAATGGCTCACAGGGCTATACCAAATAAATGAAACTGAATAAGACTTTAAAGTGCTTTTTGTGGGCCACACATTAACACACGTTGTGTCGGCAGGTGAAAGCGATGCCCTTCAGTACCCGCTTCATAGGGCTAAGAACCTTGCAGTGACCGATATTGTTTGGGGGGCTATTGTGAAGTGGTAGGAACTCATGTGGCCATGGGGCCTATGAATTGGAGTTGCAGGCCTGGGGTTCCCTCACTTCACGAAGTGGTTCAGGGGGTTAATACAATTAAAACATGTTGTCAAGTGCAGCGAGTTAATGGTCACAACCTCATTGCCAAATGATGAATTGAAAAAAAACTCATCGGGTATTCACTTAATTTGGTGTATTCCAGCTTGATTGACAAACAACGCTTTGTAAATCATATTACAAAAAATACTGACGTGATGAAGGGACGTATTAAAGTGATATCACCTTGATGGTTGACTGCTTGCTGACTTCAAAATAGAGATTTATTTGTCTTCTTATGTGATTCTAGATTTGAAGTTTTCGTGACTGCAAGGATCCATACTTTTTGGGGTTTTTCGGTAAAGTCATGTAGGTAAAAAATAAAATAAAATAAAAACAACTAAATTAAATCACGACGTTTTGGAAGCAACACAAGCCTCTTTCCCGATTTAGAGTGTATACAGATTTAGACTAAATAGATTTAGACTCTATACCGATTTAGACTCTAGACAGATTTAGACTCCATACAGATTTAGACTCTGCAGAGATTTAGACTCTATACAGATTTAGACTGCCGTTATTGTTGCAGTCGCGGCGCTGGCCCCACGACGGGGAGGCCGCCGTCACTGACCGTCCGTGCTGCTCCTCGGCCTGCCGCAGCTGCTCGGCGGCGACGCGGAGTTTGTCCTGCAGCGCATCGAGACGCTCGCAGCGCCGGTCGTGCGCCCGGCGCAGCTCCTCGCCCTCCTGCGCCTGCGCGAGATGGGGCGACGATGAGAGCGGGAGCGCGGTGCCGCGCGATTTCACTATCACTACAAGCCACAATGTTATCATCGCCATCGCAGACAAAGGCAAACAAAGACTAAGATTCCCCCGTGTAGCCTTAACAGACTGTTGAGGCAAGTGCTGTTAGCGAGTACCAACGAAGGCCGGTACGGCTCACGAGGGGGTGGGATGGCCAGCACCAAGCCAGGCCGTCTTTGTCTCCCTAGTAGCGATGTTTACACACTGCACTAGTTAATAATTTGAGGCTTAGTCAACCGAGGGGAGGCCCAGGACCGATGCAGATAATCGTCACTGATGTTGGCCGTGAGCGGGAATCGAATTCGGGTTTGTGTTTAGTTTGTTGTCCTTCTCTCGCACCTCCGACTGGCCCGGTTGGTTACGTACGCTGCGAAAGAAGTTCAACATACATACACAACATACCTGCACCTGCAGCAGGTTTTCCAGGCCACGCACCCTGCCCTGCAGCAGGAGAAGCTGCGCTTGAGAGTCGGAGAGGAGGCGCGACGAGCGACTTGGCGAAAGCGAGCGGGCGCGTGTAGCGGCGTCCCTGCCCTGTGGAACGACAGGACACTTGCCCTCGCCGCCCTTGTCCCACAGATGCACGCAATGCTCACGTACAAGACAATGTGATAACGCGGGGCAAACTTTCAATGTTGCGCCACTCAGAGGAGGGCCACCACAGCATCTTCAAGTGACGTCACTGGAATACCTTTTTAATGTATCCACAATATGACGCACTGGTGCGCTGCGAGATCTCGCCAACGGGGGGTCAGTGTACGCCCGAGAATTGAAATGACAGTGCTTGGTCCAGTGGGAGGTTGGAAGAAATTTTGAAGGTGAGTCGGCAGTTTTATATTAACACAAGCCGACCAAAACAGCAGCTTCATCCTGGACCAAACCCACTTTGGAAAACAAAGTAAAATCACAGCTCGTAGTATTGTGTGTGCCATCTTCATGTAAATGGGAACAAACAGGACGAGCTTTGCTACTGCTGTGTGGCCAGCACCTGAGCGGTGGTGGAGGCGATGCTCTGCCGGCAAGGGCTTCTGTATCTCCCGTGCACCGGAGCCGTTGCCGGGTTTGACAGCTGAGCCAGCCTCGTGGTGACGTCACGCAGCCTCTCCTGCAGGGCCTCCTTGTCGGCGAGCAACATGTCCAGCTCACGGGTGCCACTTGACTCACTCTGCTGCCAACACCGAGGCAAAGATCCCCCGTAAAGGCTTTTTAACAGACTTGGGGCAATTGCTGTTTAGCGAGCAGCTGTGAAAGCCGACATGGCATACGAGGGAGTGGGTGGTCAACACCACGCCTGGCCAACTTTGGCTTCCCAATGCGGATGTTTACCCGGCACTACGTACTCATGTAAGGCTGAGTTGACCTAGGGGAGGCTCAGGACTGGTTCAAATATTGCCCACTATTATTGGTTGTGAGAGGGAATCGAATTTGGGTTGCTGGGTTCGTAGCAGTGTGCTAACCACTCCACTACCGCACCACATCTCACACACAAAGACACATATCCCCCCGTGCCGCCTCTTTATAACCTGTTGGGCCAAAGACTGTTAGCAAGCACTCATTGAGGCTGGCACGGATCACATTTTTCAGTTTTAAGAGCAGCAAAGCCATGGGTACCAACCTATTGTACAAACGGAGTTTGTTTTTGGGTAACGTCTGACTTGTATTGGTTATAAACCTCCAACTCCTGCATGTGAGTTACCTGCTGCATCCCAGTGAGGTTGGTTTGCCTGCTGCTGCTGCCTCCATCCTCCATCTGTTCTGGTTGCTGCGGTTGTGAGCTCGGGGTGCAGGGGCCATGCCTCAGTTGCACCACGCTGGCCTTCAACGCCTCGTAGCGCAGATGCAGCTCATCGTGCATCTACAGACAGCAATTCGTATCATCATCATCAACGATGACAATTCACTTCTGGATGAAGGCCTCTCCTCGCTGTCATCCTGTCTTACAGATCTGCGAAATAATAATCAACCTAGCATCTATACATGAACCGATTTTATCACTCCATCTCTGCGGTGGACGTAGTCTGGTGCTCATTACCACCAGTTTTTAAGTCTCGACTACTTTCCATTATCTCTTCAAGCGATGAGTCTGGCCCAAGCCCACTAGCAGTGGGCTTGGGCCAGACTCCTCTTTCTGTCTCTCAATGTGATTCCAAGTAGGCATCTCTCAAGGTTTCTTTGCGAATATTTCAGCTCGTTCCATATTCTGCATCAATATCCATATTTCTGATCCGTGTCACAGCAGATAATATATACACCGATTAAAAACAATTAGCGGCACGCCGCTCAAATAATTTACACAGCACACAGGACGCAACTAACTTGGCCACAAATCTATGGGGACAGTAGCCTCAGCCACAAAGTATCATCATCAATCATCATCTTCTTGGTTCTTTCGGTAAAGTCACGTAGAAGGGAAATAATACAATATACAAATGTAAAACAATAAAATTATCACGACGTTTCGACTGCAACACAAGCAATCATCATCAGGTGTGAAATCCACAACAAGATAAAAAAAATATATTTTTATTATTTTATTATTTCCCTTCTACGTGACTTTACCGAAAGAACCAAGAATATGAATCCCTGCAGTCACGAAAGCTTCAAATCAAAATCATCATCATCATCATCATCGCTATGCATGCGTGTGGTGGCACGCGCCCCTGTGCACCTGCTGCAGCGAGGCGCTCTCAGCCCTGTGCGTCTCCTCCTGCTGGCGCAGCACCCGCTGCGTGTCGCGGGTCAGCTCCTGCAGCTGCTCCACCAGCTGCGACTGCTGTGCGGCGTGCTCCGCTTGCAGGCGCTGGTCGATCTGCAGCTCCTGCAGCTGCTCCCTGCGGATGGAAACAGGAGCATCGCTCGGTCAGCCTCAATAGCTGCTGGGACAAATGCTGTTAGTGAGCACCTATTAACCCTTTCCTGTTCCGAGACGTCAGCAAGTTGCTGGGTGTGGGTCCCGTGCACCGCTGAATTTTGGAACGCGTAAGCGGCTCAGCGCTAATTTTATTTAGAGAGGCGTAGTAGCGCCGTTATTTTAAAAGACAGCGTACTCACCGCAGATAACTGTAGCAACAAGACCGCACTCTATGATAGCTGGCGCCAAACTGTGCCACACCCCCTCATGCATGGCCTTGTGGGAGCCTCGGTACCGATAAAGTTATTTTATTTTCGGTTTTTTTCCAGGGTTAAGGCCAGCATAAGCACCGTCTCCCCACTGATATACAAACACCAGGTACATGTCATAGGCTGGGTTAACCTAGGTGAGGTGCAAGCCAGGATGTAATGTACATTGTCAGATATTTTTTATCTAACCACGCTTGCAAAGCGTGGGGGCTAGATGATTATTCTTCACCGCACTGGTCAGTGTGGGTTGCTGAAGGTGGATAGCATACGCGTAGGAGCATAGTACGCTACAACAATGTATATTGCTAAACTGCCCTCTGCTGCAACAAGCATTACCCAGTTTCAAACGTAGCTTCTGAGATCAGAGGAGTCTGGATGCATTCCGGTTGATGCGGTCATAGTTGCAGGGTGCAGTAATAGCGTGTACATAAGTCAGGTGGAGTGTGGTGCCCCTGATATATTATTACGCCACTTGCTTATCCGGATGAGGCTCAATGAGTCTCATTGCTATATGTATTTGCAATTGAGTAATTAGTACATAAAATGCCATTCGACTATTGGTACTGTAGTGATAACACTGTAGTGATGCAACACAGATATGACAAGCATGCCTCAGAAATGACGGTCGAGGGCACTTTCGATTACGCAACTAAAAGTCAACCTTTGACGCTGGGAAATAACTTATCTCGTGGAGAAAACTTGAGACTCGTGTCAGACGGCCAGGGACACACACAGGCACGGTGTACAAAGCAACAACGTCTTCGTGTTGTGTGGTTGTCGGTCACGGTGGCGAGATGTTAACTACCTCGCCTGGTATACAGGAGGTCGTGCGGTCGATCCCGACCCCTGCTGTATATTTGGAGTTTGCGTGTCTCTCTCCCTGCCGTCGCGTGGACTTTTCCCCGGGTTCTCCGGTTTTTCCCTCCACATTTAGAATCAGCGTCACGACTTTATTTGGCTACTATACATCATTTGTGGCCAGGTCGCTTCTGAATAAAAGAGTTGTACCGTTCAGTGGGCCCTACACCTGGTAAAATAAAAATTAATAGTTTCAGGCTTGAGTCTCCCTTTTGAGTCACCTCGTTTTGTCGAGCTCGGCGTTGCTGCGTGACAGCTGAGCCTGGCGCAGCGTCACCTGGGCTTGGAGCTCGTTGCAGTGATTGGTCCGCTCCTCCGCCTGCTGCCGCCACTTCCTTAACTCCTGTTCCAATCTCTGAGCGCACGAGCACGACGAGGTAAGAGGTGAATTGCAAATACAGGTAGTCCTCGACTTACAATGGAGATGCGTTACGACGACCCCATCGTAAGTCAAGAATATTTTAAGTCAAAGATGGCTTAGCCTGCCCAGGAGTCTTAAAGAATGGTGATAATTTAGCAAAGCAGAGCAATTTACAGTACCGTACTGTATAAACTATATACTGTATGTATTTATTAATTACAATACTGTATTTCACAGTAAAATGTAACGTAAAAACAAGGTGAAATTCTTAGCCTACCTATATGAACTGCAATTTAATCGAATTTTTTTTTAGGAAACAATCCCATCTGCTATAAAAAACTTTTAACATGCATTGAACGTATCGTATCGTGGTAACCCTAAAATGAAATCGCTAAAGCTATGTATCATACATGCATTGAACGTATCGTAACGTATCATATTGTACTGTACAGTACTCACCTGCCGCGCGAAATGTAAAATATTTCACAATTTTGTCGTATTGATATCGCCATCGTAAGATCAAAATATCGGAGGTCGGACCATCGCAACTCGGGGACTATCTGTACAGTAAAAGCCCAATAATTATAATAATGAAGCGTTCCCCATTACACCGCGGATTTTGATCTACTGCGGATTCAATGCATGCCCCCCCTAAAAAAAGATTAAATTAACTTCATGTTTCATTTTGTGGAAGAACCAATTATAGTAAAAGCCCAATATAACGCGGGCATCGCGGGACATGAATAACACCCGCATTATTGGCTACTCGCGTTATAATGGAAATTGCACCCAAGGTCGCATTTTCCATGTTAGTTGGGTGGCCATCATCGAGGCGGCTCCTGTGGCAATGTGACGAATCGGGTACGCACACATACGCGCTTTGCAAAGAGGATGCCATGAAGCACTCGCGTTCCTTTCACACACACAACACAACAACTCACAGGTGATAGACAGAACATCCCAAGTCCGGCTTTCCAGAAAAAACAAAACTGTTACTTGCTGAATGTTTGAAATTACATGAGCAGCAATCACAGCGGAATAATAATTATCATAATAATCACAGCCTCATTGTATTATACGCCCGCAGAGGGCAGCATAGCCAGAGGGATTTTACATGTAAGTTTGAGTAAGGGGCCGTACATAAATGACGTCACGCGATTTTGGACGATTTTTGACCCCCCCCCTCGTCACACGGCGTCACAAAAAGTCAGACACCCCCTCAAATATGACGTCACAAAGCTCTGCCCCCCCCCCAAAAAATAAAACATGCTTCAAATCGCTTTAAACTATTGTCATTGTAGTGCATATTTAATGTGGCGCTGCACTCTGATGTTGTAGCAGAAAACATTTATTAAAAAGTCTATTTAATTAAGTAGAACGTGTTGTCTATATTTATTTAAAGTTGCGCATTTTGATGTGATGTCACATTTATCAACCCCCCCCCGCCCCTCGTCACAAATGTCTGACCCCCCATTCCCCCCTACGTGCGTGACGTCATTTATCGACTGCCCCTAGCGACCCTATTTGTAAATACACAGTGTGTGTCATTTTCGAAACGATGTATCTTACATAAAGATATCTGTGGGTTCAGCAACCTTCCAGGGTGCATTTTTCATTATAACGTGAGTAGCCAATAACCCGAGTGTCATTCACGTCCCCTGATGCCCGCGTTATATCGAGCTTTTACCGTAATTGGTTCTTACACAGAACTTGATGGCTGCATCGTGAGAGTAAGAATGGATATTTATCAAAGAATCCATTTATGCCGATGACCAAATTACTTGCAATGAGCCAGATCTCGTCAGATCTCGGAAGCTGAGCAGCATTGAGCCTGTAGAGTGTTAGATGGGCAACCACCACGCCTAAAACAGCTGTTCTAGGTTGCTGCAGGCCTACGGTATCAGCAGAGGACATCGTTGTACTGTACTATGCTTCTACATCTGAGCTCCCCGCCTTCACTGAACATGAAGTACGATAAAATAACCCCCATGACCCGCATGGCATGGGAGGGGCTCTCATCCAGCAGTGGATATCAAAAGGGCTCTACTCGTACGATGAACAGTTAAACGTGTCTACGACTGACATCGGCTGTGGTTATGGAAGGAGCGAATGTAAACGGCGTCTCCGGCGTCCTCCTCACGTTCACGTTCTGCTCGGCCGCCTCCTGCTGCTGCCTGCTTTGCTCCGCGCGGCCACGCAGCGTCTCCACCTCCACCGCCAGCTGCGTGCAGCGCTGCTGCAGCTCCTGCCTCTCACCGTCGTGTCCCTGCAGCAGCCGCTCCGTCAGACGCTCGCTCTGCTCGTGCACGGCCTGCAGCTTCTGCAGACCCAAACGCGCGATTCGCGCGCCGCAGGGATCGTCACACACGAAGTGGGGGCGGGCAGCAGAGGTCGCAAACGGGTTTTGATTCCTTACCCGTACCCGGTCGCACCAGGGTCGCATACAGGTACCCGTACCCTATCCGATACCCGGCTACCCGTACCTGGCCGGGTATCGGGTAGGGTACGGGTACGAGAACCCGATTGCGACCTCTGGGATGAAGCCATGTTGCAAGCGCGGGTGGGTTGATTCTAGGAACTTGAATTGTGAGAAGAGACAAGACGTTGGGAAATGAGTGACAAACGGTGACTCACCAGTGACTCACGGCCTACCCGTACCCGGCCACACCAGGGTCGCAAACGGGTATCGGGTACCCGATTGCGACCTCTGGCGGGCAGCGCAGCTGAGTAGAGGGTGAGCGTGGAGGTTGGCGTGATGGCGAGCGGTGAGGAGAGGAGTCCGCTCACCTGCAGCTCTGCGCGTTGCTCTGCATGCTGCGCCTGCAGGCCCGACAACTGCTGCTGCAGCGCAGCGTTCTGCTCGTCCGTCGCTTGCTTCCTCTGCACAACGTTGCTCAACTCCTGCTGCTGCCCTCCAACACGCTGAAACACACCGGCATGTCAGGTCACTCCGTCGGGCAATCAATTAATCTATTGGTCGGTTTTGTTGTCACCAAAATGTCGGCAGCCTTCGTTCAAACAGTTGACAGCCCAATGACAAAGTAAATAAAAACAATGTTATTGTCTCCCAACACAAACAACATCTGGGGTCCTGAGTCAGTGGTGGGAATTACACATACCTATGGCAGGGACTAGTCTATACAAAAAGCAACTACTGTTGTCTTTTTACAGAATCATATCTGTGGGAGTGTATTATGATTGGCACGGTTGGCTACGTACGGTGCGAAAGAAGCGAAAGAAGTCCAACATACATGCATGCATGCAGTGTTTTAGCAGTATTGTGGCAGGAGTGAAAGTTCCACGTTCTGACGCCTCACACTCGTGCAGCCATAGGGCAACCACTTTTCAGACAGTGGTACTCAATGCCTTAACCCCTGAAAGAAAATGGGCCGAATTGAACAGTGGCATCCAAGTGGACAGGGTACTGTGTAGGTCAGGGGTCGGCAACCAAAATAACAAGAAGAGCCATTTCTTTCCAATTCGGTACAAAATTCAGTATTTCAAGAGCCGCAATGCATCTGAGTACATACTGTACATACGTACATATCGTCAAGAAGCAGCCCGTAAAGAGCCGCATGCGGCTCCGGAGCCGTAGGTTGCCGACCCCTGGTGTAGGTGGTGCATGTTGCCCATTGACAACCGCAGAAAGTGACGTGACCATGAAATCTTCTTGGTTCTTTCGGTAAAGTCCCGTAGAAGGGAAGTAATAAAATAATAAAAATAAAACATAATAAAATAATTCTCACGACGTTTCGGCCACAACGCAAGCAGCCGTCCTCAGGTGAAGACCAGGTCTGTCGGAGAGACAGCGTCTGAAATGACCATGAAAGTCCAAGGACCTCACCTGCTCAAGTTCGAATATCTTGTTGTCTTTGACCTGCAGTATCTCCAGCACCTTCCTGTCCTTGTGCTCAGCCTTCTGCTTCTCCCTGCAACCCACAATGCGATGTAAGTTCACTATAATGTACTATTTAGTTTTTTTTAAATCAATTTAGTGGATGTATTTTATTTTATTTTCATGACAATTACAATCAACTCACGATGAATATCCTGAAAATGTCAATGGTTTCCAAAATAAAAAATATGCTGATTTTAATACCACATAAAAGGTGTTTAATTCCATTTTCCAACATAAATTAGTATTATGTTTGGATACAATTCTTCCAAATAATTTTAGGTTTTCTCAATCGAGTTAGCATACAAACCGATGCAATACAACACAAGCCCATATAGAATTACTGCATACAGCATTTAAATGATCGTCTCCCAAGATGTTGTATGCATTGTCATGTGTCACACACCTCCCCTGCCTTCTCTCAATCCTTTCCTTTTCTTTCCACACTCACTCCCTCCCCTACTCCTGCACCACCACCTTGAGATGTGGCAGTTCAACACTCCAAAAATTAAAAGTGTACGATAAGATATTGGCAAAGAGGAGGAGCACCTTTCCAGCACCAGGCTGATCGCTTGAGAGACATCTGGATTGGCCACCTGGAGGCGCTTCCACAGGGACCACACAAACTCCTTGTCTGCCTGCAAACATTATCACTCCATCAGTTGGCATGCTTACATCAATCCAGTCAAAATCACAATTAATGCGGTACAGCACCTCCTATTAGCACGGTTGGCTACGTACGGTGCGAAACAAGTTCAACATAAATACGTATATACCTGAGGTTATTCTTTGGTTCTTTCGGTAAAGTCACGTATAAATAGGAAAATTTATATAAATAAATAAATTAAATAATAGCAAGCTATTATTTAATTAATTTATTTCTTTCTTTATACGTGACTTTACCGAAAGAACCAAAGAATAATTCCTGCAGTCACGAAAGCTCCAAAGTTAAGATTGATACCTGAGGTTGTTTACACTGTAAAAGAGCTTTCGGATTGTGTAAGCCAAAATTCATCATTGCAATATCAAGTATGCAGTGTTTCAAACAATGAAACACTGTAGGTAGGCAGAGATTTGGTCAGGTTAACTTCTCAATGGTCAAATTTCGATTTAAAGCTTTCGTGACTGCAGGGATTCATCTTCTTGGTTCTTTCGGTAAAGTCACGTAGAATGGAAATAATAAAATAATAAAATAAAACATATTAAAATAATTCTCAAGACGTTTCGGCCACAACGCAAGCAGCCGTCCTCTGTCGAGAAGACAGAGTCTGACTCTGTCTTCTCGACAGACCTGTTCTTCACCTGAGGACGGCTGCTTGCGTTGAGGCCGAAACGTCGTGAGAATTATTTTATTATGTTTTATTCTCAATGGTCCTTCTAAATATTTAATAATGCATATTGTACATATTCCTTTATAACAAAGTGCTAAGATCTGGGGTTAATACATTACAATTAGAGCAGCATTGCTAGATACAATAGAAATTATACTGTGATTACAATTTATGGTAAATTAACAATTTCAACTATACTGTAATTGGCCTCAGCCCCCAGTTGAGGGTAGCCATGCTACTGCTAATGCAGTCCCCCTGAGGTTTTGTAGTAAATTTAAAACAATGTCGTATTTATATTCTTGGTTCTTTCGGTAAAGTCACGTAGAAGGGAAATAATAAAATAATATAAATATAAAACAATAAAAATTCTCACGATGTTTCGACTACAACACAAGCAATCATCATCAGGTGTGAAATCCACAGCAAGAAAATTTGAATTTTCTTGTGATGATTGCTTGTGTTGTAGTCGAAACGTCGTGAGATTTTTTATTGTTTTATATTTATATTATTTTATTATTTCCCTTCTACGTGACTTTACCGAAAGAACCAAGAATATGAATCCCTGCAGTCACGAAAGCTTTAAATCAAAATGTCGTATTTGCTTCATTACAGCTTAGCAAGTTGTGGTTAAAGGCACACTACAGGAACGTTGAGTTGGTGTAAATGCAAAGTTTACCATAAAGCAGAGTAAGTTAGTAGTTAGTATCTTGGTGACACGGTGGCGAGGTGCTATCTCGCCTGGAATACAGGCCGTGCGTTTGATCCTGACCCAGACGATGCCTGTACATATATTTGGAGTTTGCATGTCCTCCCCGTGGTCGCGTGGATTTTTCCCCCGGGTCCTCCGGTTTTTCCCTCCACATTTAGAAACATGCGTGAAGAGCGTTTGGTTGCAATACATTTCTACGTGATAAGCCACTTCGTTGAGTTATCATTTGTGGCCAAGTCGCTTCTGAAAAAAGAGCTATAATACAGCTCAGTGGGCCCTTGGTAAAAAAGAAAAAAGGATTTTAAACTTGCCAAGAAAATAATGGAAAAGTGTGAAAAAGACTGATGACAATGATGGTGTGAACTATGCGTGAGTCACGAGTAGCACCCATCCGTCTCACCTGACATTGTACCAGCTCCTCCGATAGCTGCTTCACTTCCTCCTCCAGCTGATGCACACCAGCCTGGCTCGGCTTCTTAGAAGCCATGGCTGCAAGGTGTGGGCAAAACGTGACATTGTTAGTCAAACATTTTTTTTGACGTTACAATTCACCTTCATTACTTAGCTCCGTTATACTCTGCGTTAAGTTATTGTAAAAACAGTGTAGATTTGTTGTGTTTTAAACATTGAAAAAAATATTTTCTTGGGTTCTAAATTACGTGATGTAAGACATGTGGCCCTTGCAAGAGGCAATTCATCACGTGTCTCATCAGCTCTGCATTTCATCTCCTGGTTGAATAAAGGATACTACCAGCTGAATATAGATACTGTGTAATCCACTTCGTGTGTCTGTGTGCTCGTGTGTGCCGTTCCGGCCTTCATAGGTGCTACTCGCTAACAGCACTTGCCCCAACAGTCTGCTACACGAGAGGTTTTTTGGGGTTAGATCGCGTAACTATATAAATGTGTCGTTAAAACGCGCCACCACCCGACACAGCCAACTGGTAAGGGTTGTCACGTCAACAGAACGTGGCCAATTCGTCACTAGCACAGCAACACCGGTTGTGTGTTGGAGAGCCAAGCCACAACATTTACAATCTGAGTACGACGACGTTTTCGCTACACGGGGGATCTTTGTCCGTATTGACATTGTGGCGAGCTGGGATTGGCCAGTCATGGCCAACAGTCACCAAGGCGGACTGACCAGCGCGGTGAAGTATGGTCAAATGACCGCCACGCCCAGCAGCGGGACAGAGCGGTCACCGTGCTGAGCTGTCGCCTGTTCCGTGCTGTCACCTGTCACGTGCTGAGCTGTCCCCTGCTGTCACGTGTCCCGTGCTGTCACCTGTCACGTGCTGAGCTGTCACCTGTCACGTGCTGAGCTGTCCAGTGCTGAGTGGTCACGTGTCCCGTCCCGTCCCCTGCTGTCACCTGTCACGTGCTGAGCTTTCATGTGTCCCGTGCTGTCCCCTGTCACGTGCCGTCCCCTGTCACGTGCTGAGTGGTCACGTGTCCCGTGCTGTCACCCGTCACGTGCTGAGCTGTCACCTGTCACGTGCTAAGTGGTCACGTGTCCCGTGCTGTCACCTGTCACGTGTTCCGTGCTCTCCCCTGTCATGTGCTGAGTGGTCACGTGTTGAGCTGTCACCCGTCACGTGTTCCGTGCTGTCCCCTGTCACGTGCTGAGTGGTCACGTGTCCCGTGCTGTCACGTGCTGAGCTGTCACCTGTCACGTGCTAAGTGGTCACGTGTCCCGTGCTGTCACCTGTTCCGTGCTGTCCCCTGTCATGTGCTGAGTGGTCACGTGTTGAGCTGTCACGTGTCACGTGTTGAGCTGTCACGTGTTGAGCTGTCACGTGTTGAGCTGTCACGTGTCACGTGCTGTCACGTGTTGAGCTGTCACGTGTTGAGCTGTCACGTGTCACGTGTTGAGCTGTCACGTGTCGCCTGCTCCGCTTCATTTAGCGGCGCCCGCGGCGAACCGCGCCGGGCGCGCCGCCCGCGACCGTCGCCATAGCAACGGCGGACCCAACCCCCCCCCCTCCCCCACCGACCGCCACTTCAGCACCTGATGCGATCGAAACGTCGCGATTTAATTTATGTTCTACCCACGCGACTTTACCGAAAGAACCGAAGAGCGTGGATCCCTGCAGTCACGAGCGCTTCACATCTTCGGATTAAAATAAATCCGCACCAAACGCCCACACGCTGACGGGGCGGGCAGGGCTCATGGGCAGGCGCGCGAGTGAGTTGCGAACTCGCCACTTCAAATCTCCGCGCGGTGTCAAAGAGCTCCCTCAGAAGTCTCCCTCAGAGCCTCACCACGAGTCGCTCACCACGAGTCGTTCACCACGAGTCGCTCACCCCGAGTCGCTCACCCCGAGTCGCTCACCAAGAGTCGTTCACCACGAGTCGTTCACCACGAGTCGCTCACACGGAGCCTCACCCCGAGCCTCACCACGAGTCGTTCACCACGAGTCGCTCACCACGAGTCGTTCACCACGAGTCGCTCACCGCGCGCCGGGACCGCCGACCGAGGGAGCCCGCGGCCGTTTGAACGGAGACCTCCTTTACGGCAAGCCGTAAGGGCGGTCACGTGGGGCGACAACGTCTTGTGAAAGGAGAACCCGAGGGGCGTGACTCGCTTTTACGACACGTCGTGAAGCGGTAACACGTTTCACGACACGTCGTGAAGGAGTAACGAGAGAGGCTTCACGAGAAGCCGTGAAGTAGAACGTGAAGATTCTAGATTTGAAGCTTTCGTGACTGCAAGGATTCATATTCTTAGGTTCTTTCGGTAAAGTCACGTAGGTAAAAAAAAATCAAATTAATAAAAATAAAATAAATATCACGACGTTTCGGAGGCAACACAAGCTTCTGAAACGTCGTGATTTTTATTTTATTTTTTATTTTATTTTACTTTTATTAATTTTAATTTTTAGAACGTGAAGCTTTAACGTGCTTTACGACAAGCCGTGAAGTAGAACGTGAAGCTTTAACGCGCTTCACGACACGTCGTAAAGTGGTATCGATCCACGCTTTGTGTTGCACCAATGCGGCTGAATGTTGACTGAAAGCTTTCGTGACTGCGGGAATTCATATTATTTACGTAGATAGGTTTAAATTAATGAAAATAAAATAAACAAAAAATTGCTTTTTATTTCATGAAAATAAAATAAACAAAAAGTATCTACGTGACTTTGCCGAAAAACCCAAAGAATATCAATCCGGCTGAGTTTGATGATTCACTCCCCCAAGGCCGTGCGGACGATGGTTTGTGTACAAAAAAATACTTGCATTAGTGGAGAAATAAAACAGAATTATGCTGTTAACGTGTTCCAGCAGTGAATTTACAAAATCACTCCCACGCACTGACTTTTTATAACAACAAGAGGTCTTTCATGAGCAATTTTGAATCTTGTAAAACGTATAATTTTTATATTCTTTGTTCTTTCGGTAAAGTCACGTAGAAGGGAAATAAAAGAAAAAGAAAATATAAAACAATAAAAAAGTAATAAAATAAATGTCTTTCTGACAGACCTGTTCTTCACCTGAGGACGGCTGCTTGCGTTGTGGCCGAAACGTCGTGAGAATTATTTATTATGTTTAATTTTTATTATTTTATTGTTTCCCTTCTACGTGACTTTACCGAAAGAACCAAGAATATGAATCCCTGCAGTCACGAAAGCTTTAAATCAAAACGTATAATTTTGCCATAGAAATGTGGAGTTCCACGATTGCCTCGGGGCCAAAGCAGACCCTGAAGCCATCGGATGCTGAGATACCAATTAAAGTAATACATCTAATACTTTAATCACCCAGGAATGTCTGTCCTTCACGCTCGTGACATCACTCCATATCGACCAGCCCCCCTCATTAATATTCATGAGCAGGTGACGTCCTCCAAATGGACACCCCCCACCCCTAATTAATAATCATGAGCGGGTGACGTCACTCAATATGGAGTACTCCCCCCCCCCCCCCTCACGAATAAAACAAATATTTGTTTTTCTTCCAGGGTAGTGTTATTTCCAAATTGCTTATGCCTCAAAAGTACAGAAAATGTCTATTATTCCCCACAAACGTTGCTTTTGTGACCAGAACAGTGATATTTTGAAATGTATCTATTTTAAATGAGAACACGAGGTGTGCATTTGTGTCATTCCTTCGCGTAAAGTCCTGGTCACAAAAGCAAAGTTTATGGGGAATAATAGCCATTTTCATACTTTTCAGGCATATTATTACCTACTATAATAAGCCAAGAATGTCTGTGTGCAACGCTCGTGACGTCACTCCACGTCGACCAGCCCCCCTCATTAATAATCATAAACAGTAAAGTCACGTAGAAGGGAAGTAATAAAATAATAAAACATAATAAAATTATTCTCACGACGTTTCGGCCACAACGCAAGCAGCCGTCCTCAGGTGAAAACCAGGTCTGTCGAGGCGACAGCGTCTGAATGAATTTCAGACGCTGTCTTCACTTCTACGTGACTTTACCGAAAGAACCAAGAAGATGAATCCCTGCAGTCACGAAAGCTTTAAATCAAAATTTAATCATGAACAGGTTATGTCCTCCACATGGACCCCCCCTAATTAATAATCATGAGCAGGTCACGTCACTCCACATCGAACAGCCTTCTCATTAATAATCATTATAAGGCGACGTCCTCCAAATAGACCCCCCCTTCCCCATTCATAATAATTAGCGGGTGACGTCACTCCACGTGGGGGGTCGAGGCGCCTCCTCCCCCCTCCTCGGCGTCAACTCACAACCCTCACTACAAAGGCAGAACCCTCACGTCACGTGATCTCCGCTATTGAGACATAGAAGTAATAAGTATAACCCGTAAAAACAAAGTTTTTCACTCTAAATCCTTTATATGCGTGGCGGCTAGAGTCCTCTCGTCCTCTGGCTTGAGATGGCTGCCACCTATGGGTCGGTGATTGTCTGCCAGTATTAAGCAATTGGTAATTAAATATTTAATTTGTTTTCCCTAAACAGTGTAAAATTTTGGAATTTTTTTTCACGAACATTAATTGTCTCGCACAACGAGTCTGTGTGCAAAATGTCAGCTCGATTGGATCACGGGAAGTGGGTTAAAAAACGACCGAAAGATTTGCACGGTCGTAAGCAAGCAAGCAAGCACGCAAGCACGCAAGCAAGCAAGCATGCGAACTTAATATGAAGGATTTAAAATTGACGTCACGATGAACAAGGGATTATAACCTTAAAATGAAATAAGTCTGTGTCACCGCGCCCTTACAAATTGCACACGAAGTGATGCAATGAATATCACGTCGCGGTCTGCTTTTCGCTTGCAAGTTTCAGATTTACTCCAATACACCCGTCCTTGGACGTGCAAAAGCCTCGTATTGCTGCTGCTGATAAACCATTGCACTTCTCTCTCATACAGATTTTGGACACAAGGTGGCAGCTGATGTTCGGTAAAAATGTTTGCTCTTCATTCCCCTGCTGCAGCTGATGATGCTCCTTGTTCATGCACGATATTCAATCATTGAAGCGAGGTACAGTATTATATGGAAGAGCACCCCTAGTAGTGAAAGAGCAGCCCATGCTTGGTAGCACAAGTGGTTAAATATTGTATTAGATTCAGGCAGAAGCGTTTTTCTGTTCGTAATTTTTTTCTCTCCACTCCATCTCTTTTTTACATTTCTCTCCTAGTCCCTTCATGCGTCCTACATTTGCAACTGTGGGTCTCTGACGTGCAGGTTTGTTAAGATCATCAACTATACACACCAACTTCAACTAAGAGTTCTGGAGACAGACACGTCGCTTAGTCATGGACCCCAGCTGACGCCATCACTATCTGAATGTAATCTTGACTGAAAAAACCTGGGATCTCAACTCCATTTTAGTTTGCTGTCCAAAGTTTGAGTCCGTCTCAACCTGGACACAACATTCTCTGGAGGTCCCTTCGTGGCATAGCATCAGCCCAGGCATATTTCGAGGGCTGGACATTCTCCATTACACCTGAGACATGGCCACAATGTCGAAAGCCTGTAAATAAGAGCTCTTAAATTTGTTCGCGGACATCCGACGCTGACCGTTGTGTCACCGGATCCGAGCAGCACTGTTACAGGATGCGAGGGTGGCCCAGATGCAGAGGTCGCAAACGGGTTTTGATTCCTTACCCGTACCCGTACCCGGCCGCACCAGGGTCGCAAACGGGTACCCGTACCCGGCCGGGTACGGGTAGCCGGGTATCCGGTAGGGTACGGGTATCGGGTACCCGGTTGCGACCTCTGCCCAGATGGCAGCTTGGGAGGGTGCTCGACTGGCAGCCGCGAGGGGTGCCCGGTGGCCAGCCGACCGACGGCGCGACATGTCCTAGATCGCCAAGGCGTCCTGGCTGCCGGTCGCAGATGGTGGCCAGGCCGGCAGTCCCAGGGGCAACCCGCGTTGTGGGTGCCACCAGGCTGCTGGTCACTTGGGGGCAGCTTAGGTCGTGGGGGCAGCCGCAGCTGTCAGCTGGACTGGTGGTCGGGATATCGATCAAGTGGGCGGCTCACTTGTGAGCTTCCAGAACGATGCAGCTTTGTGTCACTTCAACAGCAGTATGCATATAAGCTCCTGTGCTATCTTGAAGAGGCAGCAGCGCAAATCTAGCAAGGAAGGACTTGTGGCTGCACCTCAGAGCTCTACATCATCCGTGACTTGTCCAGTGTGCCACAGAAAATTCCGGGCTTGGATTGGCCTGTTCAGCCATCTGCGCACTCATCAAAACCCAACAAAATGACAAACGTGCCATGGTCATCATCAACTATGATGGACGAACAAGAGAGAGACATATATACACAGTGATACCTCGATGTACGAAGAAGATGCGTTTCTGGAGATTCGAATAACTGGAGTAGCACATTATCGACACCATTCAGCTGCAAGGGCAAGGTCATCGGAAACCCTCAATATAATCGTAAGTAGTATTGCAGTAATGTAATTTTGGAATTAAAGATTACTTAGAAAAATACTTTTAAATGCTGGATAATCTATATGAATTAAGACGTTCATTTGTATGTCTCTTAAACCTCCAGGGTACGACGCGACAAGGTAGAACGATGGAATTTGTTACATAGGTAGCTTTAGGATAAAAACATATTTTAAGGCCCCCAAATCTCGATTTTAAGTGTCACATAAACATATTCTTAGGTTTTTTTTCGGTAAAGTCACGTAGGTAAAACATCAAAATTAATAAAAATAAAATAAAATAAAGATCACGACGTTTCGGAGGCAACAACACAAGTCTCCGTCATCAGGTGGGACCGTCACAGCCAGATTAGCTGCATCAAGTGAGGCAATGATTCAAGATGTAATCTCTTAAAAGCGAGTTGATGTTTGTGCGTGTCATTCAGAATATGATTTTGCGGTAGTTTTTCCTTTGATAGCATTAAACAGAAAATCAAATTAAAGCGAGAACCATTGTTCTATCTTTTATTGTTTTTTTTTTAGATATTTATGCTGCAAGCGGGTTTGAACGATTTTATGATCTTCAAATCTGAATAATAAAAAAAACGGTAAACGCTCGGCGCTTCCCCTCGTGGAGTATT